GGAAATGAATCAAATGATAAGTCAGAGATGGTTATTTCATATGTTGCCGTGGATAGATGCTCAAGAGAATGGGTCGGAAGATGTCATGTGGATACAAATCTGAGGATTCAGACGTAGTATTCGGATAATGACAGAAAGTATATGGAGGTATAGTGGATCTGGGAATATCTTCTTCTTCTTCTTCTTCTCGTTCTTCTGTTTGGTGCCGTCTTTGTTGTATCCTGCTTTCATCATTGGACCACATAGATATCCTATGGCTGGTGGGGGGCATGGGGGGCAGGCCGTAGCGCCTCCCCCCCCAAAAAAAACAGGAAGAGCATCGTTCTGGTGTTGATGCCTTTTTTGTGTTCTGCTTCATTCATTGGCGCAGATTGATTTCCTAAGGCTGGTGGGGGGCATGGGGGGGAGGGCGCAGCGCCTCCCCCCCAAAGAACACAGGAAGAACAGCGTTCTGGCTTTGATCCGTTTCGTTTCGCTTCTTTTCCTTTGTGCCTTGTTATTCTTGTTCTCGTTGTTGTTCTTCCTTCTTTTTCTTGTTCTTGTGTCTGGTGTCGTCTGTCTTGTATTGTGCCTTAAACATTACCCCACATAAATTTCCTAAGGCTGGTGGGGGGCATGGGGGGGAGGGCGCAGTGCCTCCCCCCCAAAGAACACAGGAAGAACAGCGTTCTGGCTTTGACCCGTTTCGTTTCGCTTCTTTTCCTTTGTGCCTTGTTATTGTTGTTCTCGTTGTTGTTCTTCCTTCTTCTTCTTGTTCTTGTGTCTGGTGTCGTCTGTCTTGTATTGTGCCTTAAACATTACCCCACATAAATTTCCTAAGGCTGGTGGGGGGCATGGGGGGGCGGGCGCAGTGCCTCCCCCCCAAAGAACACAGGAAGAACAGCGTTCTGGCTTTGATCCGTTTCGTTTCGCTTCTTTTCCTTTGTGCCTTGTTATTCTTGTTCTCGTTGGTGTTCTTCCTTCTTCTTCTTCTTGTTCTTGTGTCTGGTGTCGTCTGTCTTGTATTGTGCCTTAAAATTACCCCACATAAATTTCCTAAGGCTGGTGGGGGGCATGGGGGGGAGGGCGCAGCGGGGGGAGGGGTGCAACACCTCCCCCACAGGACGCGTTCTGGCTTTGATCCGTTTCGTTTCGCTTCTTTTCCTTTGTGCCTTGTTATTGTTGTTCTCGTTGTCGTTCTTCCTTCTTCTTCTTGTTCTTGTGTCTGGTGTCGTCTGTCTTGTATTGTGCCTTAAACATTGCCCCACATAAATTTCTTAAGGCTGGTGGGGGGCATGGGGGGGAGGGCGCAGCGCCTCCCCCCCAAAGAACACAGGAAGAACAGCGTTCTGGCTTTGATCCGTTTCCTTTCGCTTCTTTTCCTTTGTGCCTTGTTATTGTTGTTCTCGTTGTTGTTCTTCCTTCTTCTTCTTGTTCTTGTGTCTGGTGTCGTCTGTCTTGTATTGTGCCTTAAACATTACCCCACATAAATTTCCTAAGGCTGGTGGGGGGCATGGGGGGGAGGGCGCAGCGCCTCCCCCCCAAAGAACACAGGAAGAACAGCGTTCTGGCTTTGATCCGTTTCGTTTCGCTTCTTTTCCTTTGTGCCTTGTTATTGTTGTTCTCGTTGTTGTTCTTCCTTCTTCTTCTTGTTCTTGTGTCTGGTGTCGTCTGTCTTGTATTGTGCCTTAAACATTACCCCACATAAATTTCCTAAGGCTGGTGGGGGGCATGGGGGGGAGGGCGCAGCGCCTCCCCCCCAAAGAACACAGGAAGAACAGCGTTCTGGCTTTGATCCGTTTCGTTTCGCTTCTTTTCCTTTGTGCCTTGTTATTGTTGTTCTCGTTGTCGTTCTTCCTTCTTCTTCTTGTTCTTGTGTCTGGTGTCGTCTGTCTTGTATTGTGCCTTAAACATTACCCCACATAAATTTCCTAAGGCTGGTGGGGGGCATGTGGGGGGAGGGCGCAGCGCCTCCCCCCAAAGAACACAGGAAGAACAGCGTTCTGGCTTTGATCCGTTTCGTTTCGCTTCTTTTCCTTTGTGCCTTGTTATTGTTGTTCTCGTTGTTGTTCTTCCTTCTTCTTCTTCTTCTTGTTCTTGTGTCTGGTGTCGTCTGTCTTGTATTGTGCCTTAAACATTACCCCACATAAATTCCCTAAGGCTGGTGGGGGGCATGGGGGGGAGGGTGCAGCGCCTCCCCCCCAAAGAACACAGGAAGAACAGCGTTCTGGCTTTGATCCGTTTCGTTTCGCTTCTTTTCCTTTGTGCCTTGTTATTGTTGTTCTCGTTGTTGTTCTTCCTTCTTCTTCTTGTTCTTGTGTCTGGTGTCGTCTGTCTTGTGTTGTGCCTTAAACATTGCCCCACATAAATAGGCTGGTGGGGGGCATGGGGGGGAGGGCGCAGCGCCTCCCCCCCAAAGAACACAGGAAGAACCTCGTTTTGGTTTGGATCAGTTCTTTGTTTTTTTTTGATATGTTGTTGTTGTTGTTGTTGCTGTTGTTGTTGTTGGTTGTTGGTTGTTGGTTGTTGGTTGTTGGTTGTTGTTGTTGGTTGTTGGTTGTTGTTGGTTGTTGTTGGTTGTTGTTGGTTGTTGTTGGTTGTTGTTGTTGTTGTTGTTGTCGTCGTTCTTCTTCTTCTTGTTTTTTTCTTCTTCTTCTTCTTTTTCTTCTTCGTCTTCTTCTTCTTCCGTTTGGAAAAGATGACTACCATAAGGAAAAAATGGACACTTGTTGTGATCGTATGTGCTGTCATGGTTGTGTGGAGTCTTAGCCATTTTCACACACAAGCACCTACTCTTCATGAAGCTTACTGTACTCTTCAAGCTGCCTACTCTTCCTCTCCCGAATCAATTTTGAAGTGGACAACAGATCTCTCCCCTTGAAGGGGTGGAGGTGGGGGGGGGTGGTGCACCCCCGGGGGGGTGGTGCACCCCCCCCCCATGGAATGGGAACAGCTGGGGGGGGGGGGGGCATCCCCCATGGTCTGAAGGTAAGCTGGGGGGGGGGGATATCCAGGCTTTTGAGGTAGGGATGGTGTGTTGTGCAGGAAGATGATACTAGAAAGGCTGGAGGGGGGGGGGGGTGCAGCCCCCCCTAGCTTGCGCGGGCTTGGAGCAAGGCTGGGGGGGGGGTGGTGCACCTCCCCCTAGCTTGAATGAAAGTGAACGCCAAATGGAGAACTCTCGCAAAAACGTTTTTGGTGTATCATCTTAGGGGCGCAGCATTTTGACACCACTCCTCTCCCACTACACTACCTTTCGTCCGCCTCCGCCTGCTCTCAAGTGGTTTTGGTTCCTCTCCATAGGCCCCCAGGTGTGCCGAATTCACATGTCAACCAATGGCCATGACACACCCGTGACGCGCGTGACCAGCATTGGTGGTGTAAAGTATATCTTTTGTTGGAAAGGGGTGGCAAAGTCTTGCCTTTGGACCCCTGGTGTATATATTTATATATATATTCTATTAATACAAATGTATGCATATTTGCATTATATTTAATATATATTTAATTTATATATATATAATATTATACAATCATTCATGTTATGTGTATTTATGTGCACCTCTAGTCTTTTACCGTTTTTTCGGTGGTTGAAGTTGAAATGGAAACACAAGTTTGTTTTGTTAGGTTGATTGTGGTTGATTGAGAAAACACATGTTTCTCTTCTGTTCTTGATGTGTTTGTTTCGGGACATTGCAAACATTGGCTGTTTGTTTTAAAAAACCGCCCTCAACGGTTTTTTCTTGACTTCCTGGTGTATACATACTATATATGTATGCACATATATACCAGTAAGTAAAATTTATCTACTATATGTACACATGAAATCATTTATCATTTTGACACTGTTTGACATGGAGTGATGAGACCCCAATTCCTTGCTACTTGCCAGTTACTGACAATGAGCCGTGGGTAGTTCTGGGTTGCCGAATTCATCAAGTATTTCAGCATGAATACGCGAGTCCTTCGGCTTGTGCTGGACTTTGGCGCACAGAGATCCGAAATGATCTGAAGTGCATCAGGACCAAAATTCGACTTGTCAGGTTTTTCCCATGAACATCTGTTTTTTTTGCAGGTTTGCAGGGTCATGTCATGCGCGTTTTTTTTTTGCCAATGGGATCTCAACAAGCGGACTGCACGCAGACCAGGCCGCTGGAGATGTTTTCAGAAAGACAAGTGGGAGTCAATCAGAGGAACTCCAACTCCAACTCTCCTGGAGGAAGTTTCTGTTGATGTCATCTTGATGTCATTTTGATGTGGGTCCCCCTAGTTATCATCCATTTTTCCGGGATTTTCTATGAAACCATCCAGCGATTTTTCGGGGTACCACCATGACATTGGAAAGCCCCATTTTTCTGCGCAGAATCCATGATGACCCCACACGATCCGAACCACGGTGCTGGAATATTTATATTATACCAACATTTGCCCTTGTCCAAAATCACCAAGTTTTGATAGTTTTGTAGGTTTAGTAATATACCAGCACCATTTTGTTCGTATATGGGATGTGCCTGCCGGTAATTCGTTGGTCTCTGAACCGAAGAAACGGAACACGTTGCATAATGTGAACTGTCAGATGGCGGCTTGTGAAGAAATGCTGTTTCAATGGCTGGGTAAGTTATCAGGACCCTGAGCTCAAGTGTATATTCATGCATTATGCATCTTCTGCTTTTTGTTCTTGAGACAGTTGTTGATTGTGAAAATTGACAAGGTCAGTGTCAAAGCAAGCAAAATGCCCAGAAGCAGTTCGCGAAATATCAGTATTTGGTCAGCCCGACCAGCCTACCAATGGCGGAAACCAGTGGACAAGATTGGGAAAAGGGATCTTTGCTGCCTGGCAATTCTGACCAGAACGTGACAGGATCGAGTTCCAAGAATCATTTCGGTGGCTCAGACTGACCCACAGTTGCGAGGTTGGGATCATGGTACTCGTGAGAGGATTTTTGCATGGACCGTTGCTTGGCTCAAAGAAAGCGGATCCGAAACGCTGACCATTTCCAAGCACCAGCTCTTTGCCCATCATGTTCGGTGCCAGACTCAGATTTGAGGTCCCTTGCTCTTTTGGCGCCGATGGAACCGCAGATTTTTTGGAAACTAGGGATCTGTCATGGTACTCATTATACGGCAAGCTAGTTTTGGGTGAACTATTATATACAGTTTTGCAAGTTTTTAAGCAGAAACTTTGGTGCTGGGCAAGTGTCCGATTTCACCCACCATAACAGGTACGCAAGTATGCCGTTTGCCCGCCTTTGTATGGTTCTTCATGTTTGCACTTGCCAGTTGTCCCGAAATGTCTTGAATCCAATCCATACATATGATACCAGTAGTACCGCACAAGGCGGTGGCGGAAGTTTCAAAAATAGGAAACCTAAAAGGAAATGTTGGTTGTTGTGAATCACGGAAAGCAGAGCGAAGCCACTGATGGATCGAAAGGTGATTGATGTCTCCTCTCTTTCTCTCTCTTTCTCTGACTATCTACCTACCTACCTACCTACCTACCTACCTACCTATGTATCTATCTATCTACCTATGTATCTATCTATCTACCTATGTATCTATCTACCTATCTACCTATCTACCTATCTACCTATCTATCTATCTGTCTGTCTGTCTGTCTGTCTGTCTGTCTGTCTATCCATCTATCTATCTATCTATCTTTCCATCCTATCTTATCTTATCTTATCGTATCTTATCTTATCTTATCGTATCTTATCTATCTATCTCTCTCTCTCTTTTTCTCTATCTCCCTCTCTCTCTCTCTCTCTGTCTTTCATCTGTCTATCTGTCTAGCTATCTACCTGTCTATCTGTTTATCTGTCTATCTATCTGTCTAGCTAAGTGTAATGTAGTGAAGTGTAGTTGTAATTGTGGTGTAGTGTAATGTATTGGAGTGTAGTGTGGTGTAGTGGTGGCTGTTGTTGAAAATGTCACAAAACCCTCACGTTTTGCTCACTTTTGACAAGGTGCACAATCCCTTGCGCCTGCCACGCGAAGCGACATCTGTACCTCCAAAAGTGGTCCGAACCCCTAGTGTTTTTAACATTTGACTTCGACATGTGCTTCGCGCCACAACCGCGTGCACTTTTTCCACATCGGAACTTCCAAAAGTGGCGCGCACATGTTGTGCTTTGTACATTTTCACTTCGACATGTGCTTCGCGCCACAACCGCGTGCACTTTTTCGACATCTGAACTTCCAAAAGTGGTCCGAACGTGATGTGTTTTGTACATTTTCACTTCGAAATGTGCTTCGCGCCACAACGGCGTGCACTTTTCCCACATCGGAACTTTCAAAAGTGGCGCGAACATGTGGTGTTTTGTACATTTTCACTTCAAAATGTGCTTCGCGCCACAACGGCGTGCACTTTTTCGACATCTCAACTTCCAAAAGTGGTCCGGCAATGGTGTGTTTTGTACATTTTCACTTGCAAATGTGCTTCGCGCCACAACCGCATGCACTTTTTCGACATCTCAACTTCCAAAAGTGCTCCGACACCCAGGTGTTTTGAAAATTTCACTTGCAAATGTGCTTCGCGCCACAACCGCGTGCAATTTTTCATCTCTCATCTGGCCAGCTGGCTCCGCACCCGCCGCTTTAGCGAGCCTACTTTTCGACCCTCCGGAGCCCCAAATCATTGGAAAAACACAGTGTTTCGCGACTTTCCCACCTTTTCGCGCATCTGCATCTTCTTTCTTCTTACTCTTTCTCTTCTACTCTTCTTTCTTCTAATCTTTCTCTTCTCTCTGCCTCTTCCCTGCTCTGCTTTTCATCTGTCCATACTGTCGGAAGTTTGACTTCTAAACTTCCTTCGGCAATTATATATATATATATATGGTGCAGCCGCAATAATTTTGAATCCGTCCTTCAGTTCCAGATTGTTTCACCCCTAGCTCTGCCGGCAGGTGGCATGTCCTTCGCTACGCAGAATGGAGCCACACAGAACACCCCAGAGAGGAACCGCGCGCAGAGGGTTTTGCTTCAGCATTCACTGTCCCATGTACTGTGATGCTCTAACCAATATTTCTAAACATGACCATGGTGCAATTCTCATCCCAGTATTGAGAACAGTAGCCATTGTTGTGAAGCTTTAGAGAACATTTTGTCCTTATCTCTAGTCCTAACGGATGACAGGAACTCATCACACTTTTTTATTTGAGTTCATATATGTTCATATCATCATTGCATCGCAACATATCCCAGGCATCAAAGAAGAAAACAAAGGTTTCAAAGGCTTCAGTCCTCGTGAAGCAAACCTTCCTATGCCGCTGTTTCTCCAGGCAGCGACGACCCGAAGATCGCACGTGCGCTCTGCTGGGATTGATCATCTCGATGTCTCCTGTGACATCCGCATCAGTCTTCTGCCCAAATGATAATGATGAAAGTGATATGACTGTCATACAACAAATGAACAACAATAGTAACATTCAAGATCGTGGTCATGATATGTCATGATTTCCGGATGCCTTTGGGTTTTTATGGCAGCTCCATGTGGTTTGATACGCTTTGAAATTGCCAGGAACTTGCTGCCGGTCACCGTGCGATTGCTGGCGGGATGTGGGGATTGACCTGGGTCAACATGGGTCAACATGGGTCAACAAAGTTGTTAGGGATAGTATGGATGGATGGTACGACCTGGTGCCCGGTGCCTTTTTTTTTGGTGGCCCTGTGAGCCCTGTCGAAAGTTCGGCTCAAGCTGTCAGAGATGATACCTGATACGCCTTTCCAAGCCTGTTTGCTTGGATACCCTCTGGTTATTTAACATAGCCATGGAAAATAGCCCATTTATAGACTTAATAGATGGTTTACCTATTAAACATAGTGACTTTCCATGGCAAACTGTTAGCCATAAGCAGATGGTAATTGTAACATATTGTGACTCTGACCGTGATTGTGACAATTTGCTCTGCAAAATCCTGTGAACCATTCAGGCCATAGCTATGGCCATAGTTATGGCCATAGTCATCCTATCATTCAATGGATTGGTTTGAGGGAAAATCTACAGGAAACCATAGATTTTCCCATTAAATATGGGGTTTCCCTGTAAAATTTCCCCTAAACCAATCCATTGAATCATGTGACCAGTGTGGGCAGCTTCCCCTCGATCCCTGTGAATTCATGTGAATTCCCGTCCTGCTGTGCTGTCGGAACACAGATTCTGTGAGATATTTCTTGTACTTTGAAGCCAACATTTCCATGTTGCAAAAGCTCAAACATTTGGACACTCGCTGTTGGCTTTCATCTTATTTTTGTATAGATAAATCATACTCGATTATAGTGAACTCACCCCGCCCGATCCAAAATCTTGCGTTTAGTTGGGGGGACTTCCCGGGAAAGTCGCCCCAACATGCGTTTACTTGCGTTCTCATGGTGTTTTGCACATTTGGGATGATCGTTTTTTCGTACTTGTTCATTTTCGTGTTGCGTTAAAAAAATGGGCGAACAAGTTGGGGTGACTTTTCCCAGTTGGGGGGCGTAGTTCCATGATGTTCCATGCGGGGATGACACCTGCGAAGAAAATGGTGCTGGAATATCAATGGATTGGTTTAGTGGAAATTTTACAGGAAAACCCCATATTTAATGGGAAAATCTATGGTTTCCTGTAGATTTTCCCAACAAAACCAATCCATTGATATTTACAAAACTGTGCAATTTTTGGGGTACATGTTGGTGATTAAATATTCCAGCACCATTTTGTTCGCTAATCTGGGTCTAAAAGCTCCGGTGACTTTCCACATCCGAAAATATCACGTTGACCATGTCGACCCCCGCCAGGAATCCGCCAATGAAGCTGCCAAGATAGGAGATGGAGAGCTGCGTTTTCACGGCGCGCAGAGTTTGAAATCTGTGGATCTAAGTCAATCTAAGATGATCCATGATCTAAATCTAAGTTGTTTTCTTATGCTGTTTGTTTTTCTGTTTTGGCCTTTTTGGCTTTTGAACTTTTGGTTTCCTTTCCAGGTGTGTTGGCACATGACAGGTGCATTCACAAAAAAACATTGGCTCGTGGCTTCAACATATTGGAAAGAACCCTAAATTGGCCAGTTTCCGGACCTATTTGTGAGACATCCAAATTCCATGACATCATAGCCAGGTGCATGTACAGTACATGTGTAAGGCCGGATAGAGCTGGTTTCGGAATCTCCCAGGCAGTGAAACATCTCCCAACATCCTGCTGTTGCTGGCACAAGTGGAGGCACTACGTCAGTAGAGACACTAAAAGAGAAACCCACGGTTAATTCTGGGGAGACCCCTCAGCATTCTCACCTTGAGGTGGGAAGCGATGACACTTGCCGACTTGCCATCAGGTTCCGCATTCTTCTCCCATTCCAAACCTGACCAGGCTGTTCACGCACAGCAGAAGAACATGGCGGAGTTGCTGGGTGGCACCGTGACAAGACCCGCAAATACAGTATGCATGGCAACACGCGCAATACGCACAATACGCACAATAGTGAATGGAGATGAGAAAAAAGAGCGTTCTGACCATGGAAAAAGGGACGCAGGAAATCGATGAGACCATTGAGCGTTTGTACCCTAACACCCTCAGTTGACCCACGGAACACATAGACTTGGTTTCAGTGGCAATGTTTTGATTTTGCTGGATCCATCCACACACACAATTTCGTAGTCACCTGCCATGATCTGAGCAGGTTTCCTTTGGCAGACAGCTTTGTGAGTTAAGGACACTGACTGGAATTCCAGGACCGTCCAAGAGCATCCAAGACCTACGTAGTTTCCATATGTTACATGTTTCCATGCTCAGGTTCACAGTGTGTGATGGCACTGGAAGCTTGAGGGTCCGTTTCTTCGCCACTGATGGTGAGGCCCAGGACGTCGAAATCTTCGGCTTTGCAAAGGATCACTACACTGTACGTATCAGACCTATCCCATTTGTCGCAGAAATTATGATATTTATGATAATTCATATCTTTTCCATGAATCGTCAGCCATGAACAAAGTTGATAAAGAACCTGTGATGCAAAGACTTTGGTCGCTTGGTTGTATTCATACTGTACTCTTCTGGACATACCATTGTGGAATTTTGGAGTTTGTATCTAACCGAATTACGCATAGTTTCACTGCGAGGAGAAGGCTCTCCAAAGCTTCAGCACTGGAAGCTGGGTAACGAGTCTCAGAAGTACGTTAGGCGACGTTGACCTTGAGGGAGTTGGTTGATCAGACCGTATTCGCAAAATGTGGACAATATTTTTTGATATCTTTTGCTTGTTGGCCTTCTGCAAGTTAGGGGATGACAAGGGCATCGGCATCGGCAGCGCCGTTTCACCAGTTCATCTGGCATGACCTGTTTAGGTGTACTCGCCGAGACTCTAGTTGTAAATCAAAATGAATCAACCCTTCAAGCAATATTGACGTAGCAATAGTCCTTGTTGGTTCTTGTCCATTCCGTTTTAGACCCAATTTTTTGTGGCTAATCTCAGTTTATCATCTTCAAGAGAATTTTGCAGCAGCATATGTGGCACCTTCCGGTAATCAAACATGGCTGGAACATCTCCCATTAGTTGATTCTCCCAGCTATAAATTTCCATTTCAGTCCCGACATGTTCCAGCCACGTTTGACTACGGGATGGTATTTAGGTGAAGCTCTTCGGTCAGTTCCGTTCTGCCCCCACGGCACACTTCTCCGTGTCTATGCTTCGGCCGGTGAAGTCAGCTCCTTGACGACGAACTTGGCGGCACAGTCGCTGATGGGGGAGGCGCCTTTTTTTCCCCAAACAATGTGGCCACACTGACGGGTTCTTACGGTAGGTGTTAGGGCCTGCTGGTTGATCGACATCGTATCCGGGGCGTTCGGCATTTTCCTTGTAAATTTCCGTACAGAATGGCTCTTGTGGCGCTTGTGACATGTCCATGTGCATTTTGACTGCGCAGGCTCGCACAAAACGGGTGACGCGGTATTTGCGTCCGGCATTTTCCTGTAAATTTCCACATAAAATGGCGCTTGTTACATGTCCATGTGCATTTTGACTGCGCAGGCTCGCTTTGCGTCCGGCATTTTTCCTGTAAATTTCCACATAAAATGGCGCTTGTTACATGTCCATGTGAATTTCGACTGCGCAGGCTTGCGCTTTGTTTGTGATGACTGTAAAATCTGTTTAGCAAAGATCGTGTGTCCTTGTTGACAAGTTGTTTTCTGAGATCGGCAGCAGAGTTCGACGTTGCACTGTAGTCGCAGAAAAGGTGAATCAATACTTTCTGGTTTGATTTGTGTGATGTATTGGAAGGTCGTGATCTAAAGTGGCAGTTGTATTCTGCGTTTTGTTATGTGTTTAGAGAACGCAGGGATCCTGAGATCTTTGCTGTATTACTGTGTGAATGTGAAAAGTACGTTTATTGAGCTTGCCGGATGGGGTCAGAACAGCTACCACGGCTGGGAGGTCAATAATTCGGCCACTATACAGAAATCCTGGGGACCTTCTAGAATCCTGACTGCGCACTGTTTGGGGTCTCTTGCCAGGATAGTTAGGACGCATCAACAAATGGGCGTGTTTGAAAATGGAGAAACAATGACAAATCATGACAAGTACAACACTAAGACTGGCCCGCTGGTTAGTACTGGTTTGACCCCTAAATGGCCATGTTAAGAGGGAAGACTTTGATCAACCATCAAATTTTGGGTACCCCATTTTCAGAAATCCACATTAGTCATGGGGTCAACGCAAGGACTTCAATTTTGACCCAATGATCAATGGTGCTTAGCAAGAAGATTATCTCCAAGATGAACGAAGTTATTTTCATGTTGTTGGTAAAAGATTACAACAGATGTTGTCTAGGGATGCCTTGAGTGGGTATCTTTGGTTTTTGAGTCCTCTGAAAAATCGTGGCCCAGTCTTGGCTTTAGGGCCTGATCCTCTAGAGAGCTCTTCCAAGTCTCCACCCAGTCCTCAATTTCCATATATGTGTGATAAGATTTGACAGTGTGACTACAGGTGAGTCACTTCTTTGGGGTATTGGAGAATGCCTTTGATCTCCAGTCTCACTCCTAAGTGAATTGGATGGATTCTGAGCTGCTTTGCTCCCATGGCACCTGAGGCGGATGAGATTAGCCATCATATGATTGAGGCAGAGCGGATCGAGGGGGCCCAAGCCTTCATTAATCGTCGCAGTCTCTGAAGATCCCATGCGTAGCAAGGGTTCCCGTTTCACTCTGGGGGTCTGGGCGTTGAGGGTGTGCTCGCTAAACCTGCCGCAACCGTTCTTAACCGTCCGCAACTGTCTGCAATCGTTCAACGTTCGCAACCGTCCGCAACCTTTCGCGTGAGGGCCGTATGGCCGTGCCTATAGTGAGTTCTACAAAAAGTGGTCCCTTTTGGAGATGTCAATCATCCCGTAGCTTCCTTTCGCGTGGCAGGCGTGGCGTCTTGTGATATTCCAACATGTTTCATAACGTGTTCAAAGACGATTTGTGTGGCAGGCGCAATATTTTTCGCGCCGTTTTTGGTGAATCGCAGTGTCAGGGCTGTCTGAAGTGGTGACAATTGCGTGGCAGGTGTGGGACATCGTGAGAGGGCCATTTTGCGTGGCAGGGGCAGTCTTTGCTGCAGATCTGTTGAGTGTGGAATGTACAATTTATTACACTTTACACTCTACACTCTACACTCAACTCCACCCTCTACACTGTACATTCTACTTTCCACACTCCACACTTTGCACTCTACACTTAAACTCCACACTCTACACTTTACACTTGAGACTCCACACTCCACACTTTACACTCTACACTTTACACTCTAACTCCACACTCCACACTCTACACTTTACACTCCACACTCTACACTTTACACTCCACACTCTACACTTTACACTCCACACTCCACACTTTACACTCCACACTCTACACTTCACACTTTGCACTCCACACTTGCACTCTACACTTAACACCGCACACACTACACTTTACACTTTACTTTACACTCCGCACTTTACACTCCACACTTTGAACTTTACACTCGGCACTCCACACTTTAGACTTTACACCCCACACTACACTTTACACTCCACTCTCCACAGGCTACACTTTACACTCCACACTCTACACGCCACACTGTACACTTTACACTTTACACTCCGCACTCTACGCTTAACACTTTACACTCCACACTGTAAACTCTACACTCCAGACTCTACACTTTACACTTCACACTCCACACTTTACACGTTACACTCTACACTCCACACTTCACACTTTACACTCCACACCTTACACTTCACACTTCACTCTCCACACCTTACACTGTACACTTTACACTCCACACTCTTCACTTTACACTCCACACTCCACCCTCCTACACTGTACACTCTACACTCCACACTTTGCACTCTACACTCCGCACTCTACACTTTACACTCGACACTCTACACTGAACACTTAACACTTTACACAGCGGACTGTACACTCTACACTTTACACTCTACACTTTACACTCCACACTCCACACTCTACATTTTACACTCCGCACTCCGCACTCTACACTTTACACTCCGCACTCCACACCTCACATTTCACATTCCACTTCTACGCTCCACACTGCGCACTTTACATGCCACACTCTACACTTTACCCTCTACACTTTACACTCCGCACTCGACACTTTACACTTTACACTCCGCACTCTGCACTTTACACTTGCCGCTTCACATTTTACACTCCACACTCTACACTTCACACTTTTACACTCCGCACTTTACAAGTTACACTTCGCAATTCCCAGTGCACACTCGACACACTACATTTCCCACGCAACACTCCACTTTCTTCACGCTCTGCGCTTTGCACTCCATCTTTTTTCACATTCCAAAGTTTACAATGCACTTGGACAGTAACTGGGGCAAAATGCACAAGACTGTTCAAATAACTTGTTTCACAGAAGTGTTCTACGGGACTGCATTCGGGTTCGTGGGCTGCATCTTGTTTTAATGCCCCTGCCTGCTAGCCTGCTAGGTATTCTTGAATTCTTGGTAATTCTTGAATTCCTTGATTTAGTTTTGATTTTCAATGACTTCCTCAAAGGGGATACTCTACTGTTGCCAACAGCTGCAGATTGTCCTGACTAATAGGGGAGTTGTTTGTTTTGTTCCGAATATGGCATGGAGGAAAGATTTCGCTCACAGCTTCCGCAGCTACACAACCTGGAGAGGAAACTCTACTCCAGGGCAGTGGTACTTGAGACTTTTTTGCAGCATGTCAAGTGCTCTTCTGAAAAGAATCATTGAGAAGAGTTAAAGTCAGTTGAAGATTGAGTTGAAGATCGATTCAGTTGGTTCAGAGTTCATTCCACTGATGCCCTGAAGAGGTGGCCCACTCCGCCCTAAAGTGCTGGCAGCACAACGGCTACAGTGGCTGGCAGCATGTTGAACTGGGGAGGGGTATTGAAGAGACACACAGAGGTGTCACATGTTCCAATTATTTCCAGTCAATTTGATCATATTGAATTGCCGTCAGCAAGCCCGCCGGCCATAAAGAGGTGGCCCCCAGGGAGTTTGATGTGGACTCTATATAGGTGGAAGCCGGAGAAGAGAAGAGAAGAGGAGAGAAGAGACGAGACGAGACGAAGAAGAAGAAGAAGAAGAAGAAGAAAAAGAAGAAGAAGAAGAATATGATGATGATGAAGAAGAAGATGGGAAGAAGAAGAAGAAGAAGAAGAAGATGAGAAGAAGACAAAGAAGAGAAAAAGAAGAAGAAGAAGAAGAAGAAGAAGTGGAGACGAAGACAGCCGTAAAACGGAAGCAGCTTGTGTAGCACGTGCTGGCCGTAACAACTTTTTGCTGCTTGCCCACATTTGAGGAAATCAAAAGGATGTTGCACCATCCAGATGGAAAAATGAGTATGATGCACCAAACTCCTTTGGATCTGCACTCGACTTAGGACTAGTAGGAGTACTAGTACTTGTAAGTACAGTACTTAGGCTTAGACTTAGATTTCAGACTTAAACTTGGACTTTGTATACATACATATATATATATATATATGTATATATATATATATATATATACGTACTTATGGGCGGGAGAGGGGTGGACACGAGTCAAACGAGGCAAAAACGTGTAGCAAGAGAACAAAGTAACAAGTACAAGCCAAGAACAGAACAGGAACAATACCTTCCAATTAGACACGCCGGCAGGCCTGCAGATTCTTGGTGTGCTTTCATCTACTTACCGCATATTACTTACCGGTCGGAAGCAGATTCTCGGATAGTTTCCCCTTTTTGTTTTTCAGGGCTGTGCTCAACACATTCAAGTTCAGCAGTTTTCGAGTCATCCGCTGGTCTGAGCATGTCGTAACCAATCACAGACATACAGTGACATACATCACAGGAGGTTATGAACACGTGCTCAAGAAAGGAAAACGCACTTTTCGCGAATCTTTTGACATGACTGAAAGATTCGCGACAAGTGTGGTTCAGTCTTTCAGGGTCTTGCTTTCGATTTTTGAACTTCATGACTGGGATTGAACAGAAGCTCGTGAACATCCGTGAGCCATGAGTTGCCCAGTTCCAGGTGGAACTGATCCTACAACCCCAGCGCCCAAGGTGAAACCAGGGGAGTTTGGATGCTCAGATGGGCAACAACCCCTGGACCTGTTCCAATTTAGATTGTAGGTTTGTACAAATGAACCGTATGCCAAAGCCTACACAAGATGTACCTAGGTTTACCCTTGGATTTAGTATCTTGCCGAACCTGTGTCTAGGATGTGGTGGTCCATTAGTTTATGATTGTTGTTTAAAACTATGATTGAATCAATCTAGATATGACACACTGGTTTCTTCAGGCGAAACGCCGAGTGCTGCAACTTTGCCAAAGAAAACTGCTTGTTTCATCTCTCTTCCATGTTTGATCCCTGCCAAGGGAAAGGCTGAGAGTTTGCTTGGATTGAAAGATGTCAATCTACGATCTGGCACTGATATGATAGGTCAATGACAGGACGGAATTGTGAAGTCTGATATTCAGGCAACATTGACAGCAACACAAGTGCAGGAGACGAGAGCATCCAGTATTGAATGACATCGAATGTTTCAGTGGCTGCCTCGAAAAATCCGGTCGCCCCGGAAATTGTGAGCTGTGACCGCATGTGACCACTGAGGCCTGAAAAGACAACTGAGTCTCCGACTCAGAGTCGGGGCAGGGTTGGAAATGATTGGAAGTCACCGCCGATTGGTGCTGTTATGTTTGCATGCTAGATCGCATATATGACTATTGCAGTATGTGGCATGTATTCCCATTCCTATGGTTATCAAGGCCAACTGAGCTACAGAAGGGCTGTAGTAGTTTGAATTAAAAATGCGAAAAACATGTGAAAATATGTGTTTTAAAACTGCATTATTGTTGAACTGTGAAAAAATGTATTTTAAACATGTAAAAACAATGTGGAAAAATGTTTTTCAGCAATTTTGAGGCTTTGTTCCTTTTCCTTCTGCATTTGATTTTATGTTTTTGCTCCTGGTAGTCATTGCTTTGCTATTGATATAGTAAACAGATCTGCGATCTGCACAGTACACTTGCGATCGATTTGAATTGCTCCTCTCCGATTTTCAACCTGCCGAAGTTGGGCAGGCAGCAGGGTAACTGCAGCAAAACTGGACCCCAAAAAATCCAAGTTCCACCTTCCCAACTGGATCTTCAAATGTGTTTTTTTCCACATTTTTTCACATTTTTCACAATTTTCACATTTTTTCACAGTTTTCACATGTTTCACCTTTTTTCACATTTTTCAACATTTGTTTTTCACGTTTTTTTCCAAGTGCATCTTCAAAACGCATTTTTCCCTTTTTTCCCCAAGCGCATTTTCAAAATGCATTTTTTCATATTTTTCACATTGTTTTCACATTTTTGTGAAAAATGTGAAAAAAAGTGAAAAAATGCGTTTTGAACATGCGCTTGGAAAAAATGTGAAAAAATGCGTTTTGAAAATGGAAAATGTGAATAAAATTTGAAAAGTGTGAAGAAATGCGAACAAAAGGCAGTTGAAAAGTTCCTGTTTCTTAGCCACATTATTCCCGTTTTTTCTCCAGATATATTTTTCATGTTTTCTTTTAAATCCAATTTTAAATTATGGAATAGTAAACTTAAACATTAGGATTCCACATTCCACATAAAGCATATATTCATTTTCAATGATCCATGCCAATAGGTTCACAATTCACAATGAATGTATTTTCTAAAATTTAAATTGGGAAAAGTATTGAAACATGTAAATTCATTTTTTCAACATTTTCCACATTTTTCACATTTCTTCACATTTTTGGATTGCATTTTTTCACATTTTTTCCAAGCGTATTTTCAATATGCTGTTTTCCACATTTTTTCACATTTTTAATTGATCATTGTTTTCAAGCTTGTAGCTGGAAACGGCCATGATAATCTTATGGTCTTTCGAATTTATAGCATGTAACAAATAGATCTGGGCCGATAGGTGGAAATCGTATGGAGTGTGTGCGTGTGTGTGTGTGTGTGTGTACCGTCTGAATAGACGTAAAACTTCTTATACTTTATATATCTATATGCGGGGGGTGCCGGAGGCACTGATGAGACCGGCACTAACAAAGACACTCATCAGTTGCCTGTGATATCGATGGGGACGCTCATCGACGTACCTGCATATACTTTCTCGGTGATGGGAAGAGGCTCAACCCAAGAACCTCATATCTAATCTGCATGTTTCAGGATTCAGTTCCTGCCGGATCATATAATGATCCATTCTTGTCTAGTGTGATTCCTATGGTGACTCCGACATGGTGCCATAGGGCCAATTGAGGCAACCCTGTTTAGGGTGAATGTCGACTGACCGGAATTCTGAATTCACACATTTTAACTTGGTAATTCGTTCAAGTAAAGTGCAACAATCAGCCTTGCGGTTTACCAGCCTTTTGAGGTTGTCCCGCTGCTCTTGTGGTCCCAGGGACTACTCGCCGATGCGTTTCTTCAACTGTGAAGCCGTGCCGAACTTCAGAAACCTCCTTTTTTCGCAGCTGCTTTTGACGATTCATGACAACAGCATTTGATACAGGAACCAGGCAGGCACACGTCTTTCAGGTGTGGTCTTTTTCTTTTGATGGTTGTCTGGTGAGGTTAAACATTTTGTGCACCTAATTCGTTGGAACCTGGAAGCTGTTATATGCCGATTGGGGCAAGAATTGACAACGGGCCTGGAGTGGCACAATTGCACGACCTTTAGGTTTAGGAACTGAATCCTGTTTGTTGTTTGGTTTTGTTTTCACCAACTAGTTCCCCATTGGTCCCCTATCTCATGCTTTCTTCCCTCCCCAGGTAGGTTGGCTCCGTCGCGTGCTGAGGTTTTTGTAGGTTTTCGCTGTGTCAGGTTGGTTCAGGCGCTTCCGTCTTCCCCCCCTCCGTTGGTCTTGGTCCGTGTCCGTCGACCCTCCGCTCTTTCTTTTCCCTTGCCTTTTCAGGGTTCGCCCGTTCCGGGCTAGGTGTGTTGGTGTGTGTTTTCTCCTTCCCTCTTCTTTTGCGTTCCCCTCTTCGCGTCCTGGTTAAGTAACTTTCATCTCATTTTCACTCTCATCTCATCTTTCATCCCCTGTTCATCCTCATCTTCATCTCATGTTTACGCGCACCACCCTGCCGGAGGCAGGGTGTGTGTGTGTACCGTCTGAATAGACGTAAAACTTCTTATACTTTATATATCTATATGCGGGGGGTGTCGGAGGCACTGATGAGACCGGCACTAACAAAGACACTCATCAGTTGCCTGTGATATCGATGGGGACGCTCATCGACGTACCTGCATATACTTTCTCGGTGATGGGAAGAGGCTCAACCCAAGAACCTCATATCTAATCTGCATGTTTCAGGATTCAGTTCCTGCCGGATCATATAATGATCCATTCTTGTCTAGTGTGTGTGTGTGTCTGCGCCCGCTCCAGTGTGTGTGTGTGTGAAACGTCTGTACAGACGTAAAATTTCAACGGTGGAGCTGTATATTATATCATAAGTTTGTAAATGCAGGGGATCACCGGGGTCCCGGGGGGGTCGGTGATCAACGAAGACACCTCCCCGGGACCCGTGTAAACTTACCTGCTGGGCTGTGGTGGCCTGGGTGCATTTGAGTCGCAGCTTGTGACCACCATAGCCCATATATATATATATACCTAGTCTAATTGCATGTGATGGGATTCAGTTCCCGACGGATCACTCTAATGATCCATTTCTTGTCTAGTGTGACTTCCATGGTGGCTCCGACATGGTGCCGTGGACCCACTTGAGGGAACCTTTTTTAGGGTGAATGTTGACAGACAGGACTTCCGAACTCACACATTTTAATTAAGTAATTCGTCTAAGTAGAGTGCAACAGTTGGCCGTCCTGCTTTCAGCCTTTTGATGAGATCCCGCCGCCTCCGTCGTCCTTGTAAATCCTTGGAACCTGCACCTCTTTATACATGGAGCGCCGAACTGCCAGAATTTCGTTATTTCGCTGGTGCTCAAGCCTCCGATGCCACATACAACATGAAGGATACCTCAGGCAGGTTCATGCTTTCCAGGTATGGTGTTTTTTATTTTGATGGTCTTCTGGTGAGGTCAAACATGTTGTGCACCGAATTCGTTTGAACTTGAACAGCCGTTTACTGCCCATGTGGCTTGATCGGCCACGGTCCCGTTTGAGGGAATAACGCACGAACTTCTCGGATTGAACCGAACCCCATTTAACTAACTGTTGCTGTTTGCTCGCTCTTCTTCAACTAGTTCCCCATTTGGCCCGCTATTTCATGCGTTCTTCCCTCCCCAGGTAAGTTGGGTCCCGTGCGTGCCTATAGGTGGGCGTAGGTTTCGCTGTGTGAGGTTGGTTCAGGCGCTGCCGTCCTTCTCCCCCTCCGCTGGTCTTGTTCCGTGTCTGTCGGCCTCCGCTTTTCTTTTCTCTTGCCCTTTCAGGGTTTCCCCGCTCCGGGCCAGGTGTGTTGGTGTTGGTGTTTGCTCTTCCCCTCTTCTTTTGCGTTCCCCTCCTGTCCCGGTTAAGTATTTTTTCATTTCACCTTCACTTTCATCTCATCCTCATTCCCCCCTTCATCCTCACCTTCACCTCTTTTGCACCAAAAACACCCTGCGGACGGCAGGGTGTGTGTGTGTGTGAAACGTCTGTACAAACGTAAAATTTCAACGGTGGAGCTGTATATTATATCATAATTTTGTAAATGCAGGGGATCACCGGGGTCCCGGGGGGGTCGGTGATCAACGAAGACACCTCCCCGGGACCCGTGTAAACGTACCTGCTGGGCACCTGGGCGCATTAAAGTAACTGAACGTTAAGTTTGTCCAGCAACTTACAAGCTGTTTTTGATGTTATGTTGCAACATCCTCTGTCAAAGAACTTCCAAGGCGCTCTTGATGCTACAATGTACGATCCTTCTCAAGCATCTCCCAAGACACTCTTGATGCTACGTTGTAAACTTCCAAGACACTCTTGATGCTACGTTGCAACATCCTTTTCAAGTAATTTCCAAGACGCTCTTGATGCTACTTTGTAGCATCCGCTGTATCTTGCAAAGGCCGTGTCTGATATCCAAAAGAAGTGCCAATAGCCTTGGCAACGAAGTTACTTTTGAAGAGTGGGTGCGGAGGAAAAAACATCAGAGCACCATTACAGGGTGATTGACCTTGTGGTGGCGCGCGTTTATAGGAGAATGGCGCGTTTTGGCTTCGGAAAGTTATGGGAAATCTATTAATGCATTTTTGTCACCCGATATTAAGTATATCAACCTGGTGATGCCCTGAGAACAGTTTTTAAGGCCTTGGACTCCTGAGAAGCCGACTGCAGAGGCTCATATGGAGGTGTGGACCTTTGCAGAGTTTTGCACATGTAGACATACTTGGACATATGACATATAGGATACCATTTGGCACCCATATGAAGACATTTTTTCTATCAATTCTTCCTAATTGTTGCTATCTCTTTGTGTTTTTCCTACTTGAATTTTCAGATCTTTCAGATTTTTCGGTCTTACTGCCGGGTGATTATTTGACAGCTAGACCAAGGGGACTCGTTTGTTCCTGACACTGATGGTGGTTGAAGCGGTTGTTCCTGGTCCTGTTTGTTCTCGCCGCCTTTGTTTTTGTTTTTGTGTTTTTTTGTTGTTGTTGTTGTTGTTGGTGTTGGTGTTGGTGTTGGTGTTGGTGTTGGTGTTGTTGTTGTTGTTGTTGTTGTTGTTGGTGTTGGTGTTGGTGTTGTTGGTGTTGTTGGTGTTGTTGGTGTTGTTGTTGTTGTTGTTATTGTTGTTTTGTTTGCCGTTATGTCATTCTGTTATTCATGCATCGATCCGTTTGTTCGTTCGCTTGCTTGAGTGTGCCTTTGTTTTTTTTGTGTTTTTGCCTTTATGTTTCCTCTTTGTCTGTCCGTCCGTCCATCTGTCTGCAGTCATGTCACCGGTTGTGATTGTTGTGAGTTCGCGTCGGTTCATTTTGTTCTTGTTTGTTCTGTTTGTTCTTGCTATGGTTCTTGTTCTTGTTCCCCGGTCTCCATTTGGAAGGTAGACATGGAAGCTGCCAAAATGCCCGCCGAAACCGTGGTGCCTTTGGAGGCAGTGGGAAATTCAGTACAGTATTGTATGTTTTTGATTCTTGATATTGTCATACGGAACAACCAAGTCGTTTCTCAAATATTTGTGGTACATGTGTTTGCCTCGCATTCCAACAGTATTGAAAAAGGGTTGACTGTTTTTCCCGATTTGCAATTTTCCAGATACTCGCAAGGTATCGCCACTCAGCCTCAGACCTCATGTTTTTTGCTAAACACATTGGTTTTGATCATGTTTGATCCCTTTCTAATACAGACCGTTGTCCATCATCGTCAACAACAACAACAACAGCAACAGCAACAACAACAACAACAACAACAACAACAACAGTAACAGTAACAGCAACCATGACATCAAGATCAACGGCAAGATCAACATCAACATCAACAACAAGATGAAAAAGGATGTGTTAGAATAGCATCAATGACAACATCGATATGATCAAAAGAAACATGAGCAACATCATCAAGATCGACATCATTTTGCCTCAACATTATGATCATGTTCAGGATCCGCCCAGTTTTGTTCAGAGTTACATTGCACGAGCCGCACCTTCTATCCCAGCAAAACTGCAGGGATCTGCTTTGCGCAGCGCAGTATTGGAGCTCATGAAGGCCAAGGCGCTTGGTGGCAAGATGTCTGACTTAAGTAAAACCTACCAATACCAGTATGTCCAGGAACTACATTTAGTTGTCTGCGTCCTTTCTACTGTCCAATTCTTCAAAAAAACAACAGAAAAAATGCGTTCATTGTTTTTAGCAATCAAATCGTTTTAGTCAGCATCATTTGCTGGAAAATCTGGGTGGGTTCCGCGGGTTCTGATTCAGCATATTCGTTGCCGTTTAGTGCATCGTTTTTGTTGTCTATCGCCCAGCTTCTGGGGTTTGGCCTTCTCTTTCGGTGTTTCTCTTTGCCTTGAAGGGCATGGAATGTTGAATCTATTCATGTGCTTAGTTTTGCTATGTTTTATGACTTCATGTGTAGTGTTTTCTACACTCTGCAGCTTACGGATTTTTGCTGCTCTTCAGTACGACAGCTTTGAGGCTCCCAATTTCACAGTTTCAACAGCTACTGTACAGAACAGCTGTTCGAGAGTGTCTTGTGTCAGTCATGGCTAGCCTGCTAGCCTTTTTGATGCCAAAAGATTGTGTCCAGGGCATGGTCAAACTAGCAACTACAGTAGTAGCATTTTCGTTAGCATCCTATGATTTATTTCATTTTATCATGCTCAATATGTTTCTAAAGATCAAACCATCATTTTGTTCACTGGCTATAAGACACAATTGTATGGATATATATATATATATGTATATAAATATAAAACGTCTTTCTGAAAACTACACAAAATAAATCTGTTATCCTAGATTGCATTTTTTCGTTAACAACATATTTACTATTCGTAATCATTTGTTTTTTAGTTTTATGTGTTTGATTTTTTGTTTACATTTCAATAGTAAATTCGTAAATTCGTAAAGTCGTAAAGTTCAATTTTCCTAGAAAAGCTCTTTCATTTTGTTTTCAAAGGCAACTTTACTACTTTATGAATTTATGATTTAATGATTTTGTCATATTCCTGTTAATTATATTTTCATATATGTATATATATATATTAATTTCATCATTTTTTGCTTGCAGGAACTTGAGAGCTCGACCAGATGATCAACAAGGCAACGGATATATCAAGCTCCAAAGAAAAGAAGTGTGCATGGAATTCTACAGCAAGATCCCCTCTTGTTGCTGTTTCTATCTACGTGCAATCAAATTACTCTGACGAAACAGTTATGCAGTACCTGCTGAGAATACATCGCAAAAGGCCATATGGATATGACGAAAAAGCTGAGGAGGACTGTCGTTGCTCTCCGATTCGAGACTGGTTCTTGAATGTTCCTATCATTGTTCTGGAAGAGATTGCTCTGCATCCGCTGTCTAAACAGAACGTTTTGATATACCGAGATGCAGACATGTGTTTGGTTGGAAAAGCAAAACATTGAGAAGGGACGAGCAGTATGTTCTCTGGAAAAGCAAAACATTACTTCCATCAGTTGAAGGGAACTGCAAATAAACATTATGAGGAGGAATTCCTGACGGTGGGAGATGGATTTCCAGTCGAAAACAAATGTGGGGGAAGAGGCATCAGGGTTGTGAATACCATGCGGAAGTGGTGCTGCAGATTTAAAAAGAAATGGCAAGTCCGACGTGGTCAGATGATGGAACGCGAGTTTATGCCCCCAGGAGAATTGAGAGATAAAGTGAGGCACATAAAACATTCTCTTGGTTTTGGTGTCGCGTACTCTCGGTACTCGGCAACGGTGCACGTTTTTGATGGGACGTTGATGATATGTTTGTGGTACGGTGAGGGTAGGGTGGGGTGGGGTGGGGTGGGGTGGGCTAATAACGTTCAAGTATACTTCTACACACACGTCATGCTACGGCACACTGTCATGCTACGCGCTACTTGTCACTTGCACACTGTCATACTTTACTGTCATGCTACGCTACTGCACGTTCCTCTTGCACTTGCACACACACACGTCATGCTCCGCTACTGCACGTTCCTCTTGCACTTGTGTGGGGTGGGGTGGGGTGGGGGGGCTATGGTCTATGGTTTACCTTGTTTCTGTTGTTGATGGAAGGAAGGTTGTGTTGTTTGTTAGATGCTATTGGACCTTGGGTGTTTGTTTCAATCTTGCTGTCAAGGTGCGCTTCTCAGATCATTGGGACTCGGCATCATTGCGCGTTGTGGTTACCATGGCAGATATGAATAAGGAATATCTCTGTTAACACTGTGAATAGATTTTGTATATTTTCCTTTTTTTATAATATATATGATATATGTATGTATGTACGCGTTTTGAAAGATGTTTGCACATATAGACGACCACATTGGCTTTAAGAAATGGACATGGACATATGTTGACAGTTAAGAGCAGACAGACGTGAGTGGTTGTGAATGAATATTTGGGTGTCTTTGTTTGCTCAAAACAGTTCCTCGATCCGATGACGGAAGGGGAGATTTTAGCGTTACATTTTATTACGTTGCTTCATATCGTCCATGTGTCATTGCCACCATTGTGTGGCTCTTGGCGTCTTGTGCCACAGTCTGAAGTAGATGAATTGCATCTCATATGTTGTCAAGCTTTGAGCGGTGATTACTTTGCACGAGAAACCAAACAGATTCTTCGGACCAGTTATGAATGGGATCTTTTACCACGTTCTGTGGGACCGTTGCGAGATAGCTGGCTTCGGTGGCAACGACGCAACGGAACAATGCCTGCTTCGGTGACTTTTGCACTTCATAGGTTGAACTCGCGTTGCAGGATTTGTTCTGCTTCATTTTCGGACAAGTCCGAAATTTCTTGGGATGCACAGTGTCAACGTGCATTAGATGATTTGCATGAAAATCAACTTGGAGATATCGATGATTGCCTGGATCACAATTTGCACCCACATTTGCCATTCGCAATTCTGCCTCCGGATGACGTGGAAGCTTTGCTGTTTCATTTTGGCCTTTCTTTGGTTTTCAAATCGACCAAGAAGTACGACACTGTTTTCCGAACGTAAGCATGGTTGCATGTAAAAAATGTTGGAGGTTCTCCACCATGTTTTCTTTCTTCGTCTTTGATTCCTCCTGAGGACTCTTCTTCGAAAGTTCATCACCGTCGTTGGGGCCGTGGACTACTTCAGCCAACACGAGGTATTGTGGTTGATATGGAAGTGCCCAATGTGACGCAAGAGGACCCAGATGTCGAAAGTTTCTTTTGTAGTTGTTTTGGGTGCAGATCGTGGTAAGACAGCAATTCAGGTGCATAGCTTCGTTTTCCAAACCACAGGAACTACTTCGTTTGCCGGAGTATTGGTCCTTGTATGAGCAGCATGTGGGCACAATGCATCATTTGCCTGCTTGGGTTCGTCGTTTCTTTGAAAGTTTTCCTTGGACGTCGCAAAGGTTGCAAGCTTTCATTCAAAGTGCCTGCTTTGGTGAACATACTTCGGAGCCGGATGTGGAACGTGATGAAACACGAACTGTCGTGGACCTTGGTATCATTTCTGAAGATGAAGAACTTACTGGCGCTGCTGTTGCAGAACACAAAGATGTCCAGATGATGTCGTCGACCGCGTCATCTAGCTCGAGGAGATTGTTGGGTAAAATATGTTCAAATGTTTATACTCATATGAAATGATTCAGATCACAGAAAACGCTTCCATCTTTTCTCTTTGGTCCTGTTGGTTTCTTTAGATGCTGACGAGGCCGCCTCAAGCAGCACCTGCTTCGGATGATTCCATATTTCGTGACATCGATTGCGATGTGTCACCGCCTCTGCTTCAATTTCCTGACGATCTTTGCATGACCCGTCAAAGTGAAGGCTATCAACGTGGAGTGGCATGTTGGTCTCAGGAAGACGTCAGCAATGAGAGTGAATCTGGCAGTGATGACCCGATCTCAGAGAGTGAGCCCGTACCAAATGCAGTCAGCTCAAGCAACAGCGCTGTGCGAGGTCCTCTGAAGGCCTATGTTGCCTCGAAGCGTGCGCACAAATATGGCTTTTGCTCAATTCATAATGTCCCTTTTCGTTTGCACCTGGTGAAATCAGGACCAAACACCGGTCAATTTTGGGTTCGATGTGCCAAGTTTTGGACACGTTTAGAGAATGGAAAGCCAACACAAGGGCATGCGTACAAAGGATCCTTGGATGCCCTGCCAAAGGGGGCTTTGAGAGCACAGAAGGACATGCAGCAGCACATTCGCTTCCAGCTGCAGCACGGTCCTCAAGTTGAGAAACACTAGACTTGACTCGATTCCAAACCTCTCTTGCTGAAGAGTGGAAAACGGACGCCGATTTGCATATTTGATTTGTATTTTTGGCAAATTTGATCATGCCAAGAAATCAATGCACTGTCGCCGTTAAATCTGCCATCTTCCTGACATGTCCTCACCGTTGAACTCTCTGACTTATATATATATAATTATATATATATAATTATATATATAATTATATATATATATATATATATATACGTTTATATTTTGATGATGATATATATATATGTGTGTGTGCCCGTTAAGTTTACCTTTAAGAGAGAGAGATATATATATATCTGTTCTGAAAGCCGCAGTGTCAAAGATTCTCTCTCACGTGGATTGTGTGTGTGTTTGTCAGAAGGCTGAGGCTCAAGTTGCCACAGCCATCCGTTCAATGAAGTGCGTGGCCACGGTTTGCCGCAATGGCTTGTGGATTATGTGGTCGACAAGGCCACTCCGTACTGACTTGCAAATTGCCTGGAGCGGAGGCATTTCGCAAGATGAGACGACAGTTGAAAGTTAAGCAGAAACAAGCAGGAAGAAAACCGAAAAGACTTGGCATTCCGAGCAAGAAAGATTGGAAAAAAAAGCAAAGAAAGGCATACTCGGGAAACTCTGACGGTAAGAAAAACAGGCAGCTCTGGAAAAGAAAACGAAAGGAGGGATTTGCGATGTTTGTCCACTGGAAGCAATCAAGCGTTTGCAGAATTTGGGCTACCTCAAGACAGTCAGCTGCTGTCCCACGTGTGACGTGGGTCGCCTGAGCGAACCGTTCGTGTGGCAAAGAGTGACTAAGCAAGTTTATCGCCAATGCAAAGCAGAAGAATGCCGTTGCAAGATGAGTTGCCTCACACAGTCCAGTGTTTTCGCGCCTAGTGTATCCCGGGGACTGTCTCCTCAGCAAGTTTATACTGCAGTGACAACTTACACAATCACCGGAAGTGGTAAGACACCTGGCACTGTGAGGCAAGCGAAGCTGCTCGGCTGTGGAGTGAAAGCTTTGACACGCCTGTATGATTCTCGTCGACGCATGAAGCACGTCTTGGCCGCTTGCAATGTGAAAGCCTCCGGCTTCGTGGCCAAGTCGAGTGTGATGGCAGCTCTGTGCGATCCATTAGGATTGGACCGAAATCTCATGCCTTTTCTTCTTTGATTCAACAGTGGCAAAAAGATCACCCGCGCAAGAAGATGCCGAAATCCTTCCTGCTTTACATCAGGGTGCTCGGTGTGGTGCAGAGAAGTAATGATACCTATAGGATCTGCTTGATCAAAACGACGTGTCGTACTTTATAAAAGACGAAGGTTCACATTTAAAACAATTTCATGATTAACTTTCCTATCCCCACGGATATTTTTTTAACTTCCAGCTCTGCAATCCATGTCAGGAAAGTTGTTGGTGGCTCCAGCAGATTTGACTCTAGTCGGCGGCAATGGAAAGCGTCCAACGGAGTCCTCCACAGAGATCGTCTCTTCTGGTCTTCTTGGCCGCTGCAACACAAATTCCATTCTCTACACTGATGGGTGTCAAGGTTGGCTAAAAGCTGCGAAGACTTCGTACAGAATGAAACGATTCAGTGTCCGCTCAGTTGTACATAAAAAGTCCGAATGGACAAAGAAATGCAAAGTCAAAGGGAAAGCCAAATTGGCTGGCACACAAGTCCTAGATAGGTCTTGGATGTGGCTGAAAAAAATCGTGCCACATGCCTTGAAAAACAGAAATGACAAAGTCATTAATCCCCGTTTGTGGGAATACATATACCAGTTCGTCTACCGACATAACCAGAAAGACTAGAAACCCAAGCTGCTCTGGGTGAAAAACAAGTTGTGCGTACTTTTGCAGTTCGGGGCCTGGAATGATGATACACACAAAACACTGTAAATACCAGGTCAAATGCTCAATTTTGATCGATTTTTCCCCAGTACTGAGGAGGCGTGTTACCTTGTTTTTCTTATTGTTTTTCCTCGAATATTGAAATCTAAACACATACAAGTGTTTGAAGCCAAAATTTGATAATGTTTTGAAGCCAAATTCTGGGATCAGAAGACTCAATCCAAATTGGGGTCGAGAATCGTTTTGAATCTCCTTTCAGGTTCAAACTTTTTGGCACTGGTTCGATTATTTGTGCCAGCAAGCGCATCGTGATGGCAAAGAAATATGTGTGGTCAACATTGATGAGACATCCATTCATCGTTGTGCATTACGTTCAAAGGGCTATGTGACAAAAAACAATTTGGGCAGACCTCCTGCTCGCTTTATCAATCGTAGTTTGAAACGCGGCACTGCAACACATGTGGCCGCCATCAGTCACCTGCCTCCAAGCGTTGCTGCCGCAATTCATGTTGTTGAACAAGCGGACAGACAGTCTCAGGATGGAAGACCGCTGAAAAGATGGTGCTGATTCTGGAGCACATCGCCAAGCATTGGATGTTGCTTGTTTGCAAGTTAATGCATCTTGGACTTAGACGTGTAACAGACAGTCCTGCCGTTATGCCTTCTGAAATTCAACTGCAAGAAATATGGCCTCGTCGAAAGACGATTCCATTTAAATCTCTGTTCTGGTTACCGGCCAAGCTGAAACCAGATGAAATCGACTGAACGAAAACTCAAAGTCGAAGCAAAGTATATGTTGTTTATACATTTATTTTTCTTATTTCATTAAGTCTTAAACTCATAAAGCAGTAAATTAAGTTGGTCCTTTTTTTCAAAGATCAAAGAGATTTTATGGAAGAATCGAACTTTACGACTTTACGACCTTACGCATTTACGATCTATTGATATATAAAAAAGCTTCGATTTTGTTCAAACTATTCAGCAAAGCTGTCTCTGAAAGAATAGATTCAAGTTGTTTGGAGAAACGGTTGCAAAAGCGTTGTTGTACGCTTGACGGACTTTATTCACATGCAACCATTCTGTTTGCAATGTTGCATGCACAGTAGTGGGATTCCAGGCCTTTGACTGCCAGAATTGTACCATGCAGAAATTAATATTAGGACACTACTCCCGAAAGGTATGCTGCCAGCACTTGCGGCTGCGGCTGCCTTGAATTTCTGATTTTCATCCATTCTGTCCGTTTAGTATCCGGCGGCGTCCTCACCCCTTCAATTCCCTTAGTCAGATTTCTGACTAGCATTGCTTCTAACGGAGCTTCAAACGCTTCTCTATGCTCCTCTCAACACTTTGCTCCAACAAAGCCTTTTACTTATTGGTTTTTCTTTACTGCGCTGTTTCTGCAGCACTCCTCCGCACTTCTCCGCACTTCTCCCTTCTTCCTTTCCTTGGGGCGGCTGCCCCCACCATTTCTACAATTTTCTTTTGTATTCCTCTTGTCAATAGGCCCCTTGATTTCATTTGTAATTTGTTCTTTTATTTTTTCCCCCCACTTTGTTGCCATATTCTTAAACGCTCTTTCTATCACGCATGCTTTTTGCGCCACGTCGTTCCTAGGTCTGTAACAACACTTTTCTCTTCAACGTCTTGTGAACATCGTTTCAAAGCAATTCATTTACCCAAGACTGCGTCGCATTGTTGCAACGGTTCTCTTGCAACTTTTCTCTTCAACTACTGTAGACTTCTCCAATCTTTCCTAGCATGTTTTGCCACTCATTTTTGTGCCACCAGTTGCTCGCTACATTTCTTAGGCAGTAGGTTCAATTCCTGCAAACTCGTCCTGAACAGGAAAGTGGGATTCCTCGATTCCGCGTAAAACTGAATGTAACGTTTGCCAAGATATTTGGCAAGATGTACCCAGCACATAGACAATTTTTTGTTTTCTCGATTTGGCCACCAAATCTGACACTAGTGATGTTGGAATGCCAGTCCCCAAACACATATAGGGGGTGGCGAAACCGAGCCCGGCTCAGACACTTCGGAGAAGACCTAATTTTTTCAAGTTCCGATTCCAAATCCAAGCAGAGCTTGTAGATTTCAAACCCATATGTTAATATAATGTAAATACAATGTAAATAGAATGCAATTATAATGTCATATGTCATAATTATGTATATAAATTTTCAACATAATGTATAAAATATGAATACAATGTAACACAGACTATGTAATACCTACATTTTGTCCAATCCATCCTTGTCAAGTTGGCAAATGTATTGCTAAACGAACCATCATGCAACCATCACATTTTTTTCAGGCTATCTTGGGTGTGTCTGAAATGGGGTATTACCCCTAATATTGCCATTTCAATCTGGAAAAATGATCTCCCCTATTCTCAGGCACCAGCTTAATTTTATCCAATTGAATTGTTTTATGATATATGATATATGTGTTTTTCATATTTCCCCACCTGCCAGGTGAGGGTTGTTAGATTTTATGTCAGTTGCCTCCTCCTCCTCCTCCTGCTCCTCCTCCTCCGCCTCCTCCTGCCTCCTCGTCCTCCTTGTCATCCTTGTCGTCCTTGTCGTCCTTGTCGTCCTCGTCGTCCTCGTCGTCCTCGTCGTCCTCGTCTAACTGCGGCCCGCGATCCACAGTGTTCTCTGCCGGACCTCAACCACGACCATCCACGCCCAGTGTTCCCTGCCGGACCTCAACCGCGACCATCCACGCCCAGTGTTCCCTGCCGGACCTCAACCGCGACCATCCACGCCCAGTGTTCCCTGCCGGACCTCAACCACGACCATCCACGCCCAGTGTTCCCTGCCGGACCTCAACCACGACCATCCACGCCCAGTGTTCCCTGCCGGACCTCAACCACGACCATAGAATGTCAGAAAGAATGTCAGAAAGAATGCCAGATAGAATGCCAGAAAGAATGCCAGATAAAATGCCAGATAGAATGCCAGATAGAATGCCAGATAGAATGCCAGATAGAATGCCAGATAGAATGCCAGATAGAATGCCAGATAGAATGCCAGATAGAATGTCAGAATATATGTCAGAAAGAATGCCAGATAGAATGCCAGAAAGAATGCCAGATAGAATGCCAGATAGAATGCCAGATAGAATGTCAGAATATATGTCAGAAAGAATGCCAGATAGAATGCCAGAAAGAATGCCAGATAGAATGCCAGAAAGAATGACAAATAGAATGCCAGATAGAATGACAAATAGAATGCCAGATAGAATGCCAGATAGAATGCCAGATAGAATGTCAGAACATATGTCAGATAGAATGCCAGATAGAATGTCAGATAGAATGCTAGATAGAATGCCAGATAGAATGCCAGATAGAATGCCAGATAGAATATGTGATAGAATGCCAGATAGAATGCCAGGTGGAATGTCAGAATATATGTCAGATAGATTGCCAGATAGAATACCAGAATATATGTCAGATAGAGTGTCAGAATATATTCAAGATTTGTCCAAATATACGTCCTGACATGTCCTGACATGTCATGGTGGGGATCACACGAAGTAAAGTAATTTTTCTGTATACAACATCTTCAGCTAAAACTTTGCAGAAAGACTCCACTTAAGAAACAAAATATCACTTTATTGTGACAAAACTCTCACGCGACTGTGGCGAAACACAAAATATGTCTTTTTCACATAACCCATAGGATCCATGTATGGTATATGTGCTAACATTTGGGGTATATGGATGGTAAATGTTGCCATATATAGCATACATTTGGAAATCAACGATCTCTGATTATGGTGAAAGACTTTTCGCTGTGGTGACACAATCTGTTCTGCCAAAAACAACGCGCCTTTGTGTGCACGGGGAGGCCGGGGTTGTTTTAGCTTCCTTGTAACATCATGTGACTTGACATCTCTGGTGTAAGTAACATCATGTAGCGTGACAGCTCTAGTGTATGCAACATCATGTTCCTAACATCTCTCCTGAATCTAACATGTAGTATAACAGCTCTTATGGGTGTGGGTTACATCATTTAGTGTGACACCTCTTGTAAATGTGATATCATGTCGCGTGACATCTCTTGTCTATACAAGTTGCTCTAAGCGTTATTGCCCCCGCCACCCCACCCCATATAATATATACCAGCACAAGTGATTTCAATAGACATCGAAATTGGTTATGGAACACGCCAGCACGGTTTTGCCTCCACTGCAACAAAAAATCGCTACCATTCGCTCGAGGAAATATCTCAGCAGTCATCACTGTACTGTCTAGTGGTTGATTTTGTAGGACATTTGAACTCAATCCCGAGATTAAGTGATGAATGTTACTGTGTCATTCTGCTTTTGTGCGAGACGGGAAGTCTTTACAAAAAGCTTTTCCCCGCAGACCTTGTGTGATATGAAGCTTGACAGAGACGACCAACACTTTACCCGATTTGCTGAGTCATGATCGCGATTGTGCCACATGGGTGTGTCTGAAATTTTGGGGAAAATGACGGTGAACCAGTGGAATTTTGGTCGTTTCACCCAAATTTCCAGATCAATTTGGACAGCGAGTCGGAGTGCAAAGAAATTTTGTCGAGGCTGAGGAGGATGATGTCGGATATTCCATCCCAGAGGCCTGATATTCACGGATCACCCTGTGGGGCCCAATGACAGGTCTGACAGGTCTTGTTTTCAGCTTGTGGACTGGGTGTAGATTTAAGAAGAGCTGTGGTTGTTTACTGTTCTTTTCAGATTTGTATGGACTGGGTTTCCAGAACCTGAGATGCTGAATTGAGTTTGTCGATGCTCAGGTGTGCAGCATTTTGCAGAAGAAAAACAAGGCCATTTGGTGATGATTTTGTGGCCCACATGAGGAATGGTAAAGGCCTTGGGAGATGGCAGTTGGCTCACGCCGATCCAGTCGCTAGAGATGCTGTTGAACATTGGATGAAACCGATCCTGAGGATGATTGGGATGATTCTTTGAGTATTATTGAGATATCATGTACCCTCTGGTTATGTCAAAATAGCTATTGAAAATGGCCATTTATAGTGAGTTTTCCCATTAAAAATGGTGATTTTCCATAGCTATGTTAGTTTACCAGAGGGTAGCATCATTTGCTTTCCACCAGCAGGATATCAATGGATATCACGTGATTATACGTGATTGTGATTTAAGGAGGATGGTAAAGGTTACCGGCAGTGGATGCCGCCGTATCCCTTAGAGCAGGTCACCTCAAGTGCTGTAGAGAAGATGATGCACGACTTGGTCGATGAGGGTGAGGCGAGCCATGGCTTTTTGTCGCCAAAGGAATTGTGTCTACGAGAAGTTGCCATCTCCAATTTGTTGATATCATTGCCTAGTAGCGGATTTGTTTCCCTCTTGATTTCTTTACACTTTCCGAACTAAATGGATCAATAATTCTACTTATAGAAGTAGCTGATCCTTTTTTGTTGCAGCCCTTGGTAGTGAGGTTGGAGTGCCGATGTTTCTTTACACTGCACATCTCTGCCCACAACTTTTTTTGGCCAAACCAAGATCCCAAGACCCGTATTCTAGCATAAGTTTCATTGTCCATTCATAACAAGCCTGATTTGTTATATTTGCTTCGCTTGCTACTTTGAAACTCATCAGTCTGTGGTTTTTTTTGGGTCTCCAAGCATTCTCCGGCCGTTCAGCTCTTCAACTCTACCGATGATGAGCACTTCAGTCTCCTGGTCTAGGTGCGATCCCCATGAGTTGTCCAATGGGGACACTTATGAAAAAGGGACACTTATATATGGAACATTCCATAAATATCCATAAATTCAGAAAATAATTCCAAATGATTCCAGATAATTCCATATAAATTTATATATATATATATTCATCTTTTTCATTCCAATAGTTCTAACATATTCCAACTAATTCCATCCAATTATTCCATCCAAATTGGTTTTTGTGTGATTTCTTTTGATTTGTGTTGACTTTCAGGATCTTTTTGATTTATTGACTGTTTCGTGTTTTTTTGGGAATGTTGGTGTTGGAATGTTGTGTTTTTTTTTGAGGTTTGTAGAATGTTTGGAAAGTTTTGGGAATGTTTGGGAGTGGAGAACAGCTGATTTTTCAAAAAGGTGTTTTAATTGTTAGCAGTCGTTGTTCTTTCTGAGAGTTTCAGAGTACCCCTTTTTAAGAGTCACCCAGGGCTCTTTAATGATCTACCCCAGTTTTCCGTCGATTCTGGGAGGTTTTCTCAGGTCATACCGAAGGTGCAGGAATTATTCGAGCCCCATTTCCCCCCAAAATTCCAATGTTATTGGTGTCTTGAAAGCATGGTCGCAAATGGACGAAATAAATCAAACATATCAAACCCCGCAGTGACATGGAGACCTTTAAAATCCAAAAAAAACAGTAATAAGTAATCTAGTAGTTTTTTTTTAGTTTGATATTAAGGGAACACTTCGAAATTCGATTTTTGGCAATATGTTAATGAGATTTCAAAAAATAAGTATGTAATTTGATCTTAACAAATATTAATAATTTAATGACCATTTTTAATTTGATACTACGGGAAAGCTTCGAAATCCAATTTTTGACACAATTCTAATTAGATTTTGAACATGGTTTTTATTGATTCTGAGAAACATCAAATTAAGGTTCTTAATTTAATGCTAGATGCTAGGTCAAACTTCAAAATCCATTTTTGGGCAATATGTTAACTATGTGTTCAACATGTATTTTCATTGTTTTCGAAATAGTTTTATCTTTAAATTCAGGGTTTTGATTTAGTATATTTAGTATTAGGGGGAAGCTCGCACCCTAATGCTCAATACATCTAAATACCATCCAATACTAAAGACTCCTGCAGGTGTTTATTACTATAGGAGGGATGGTTTAGTATTAGGGGGCAAGGATTCTTGAAGCTTTTACACACAGACGCTTTTACACACAGACGCTTTTACACACAGACGCTTTTACACACAGACGCTTTTACACACAGACGCTTTTACACACATTTTACGCTTTTACACACAGACGCTTTTACACACAGACAGAACTTTTACACACAGAGCTTTTACACACAGACGCTTTTACACACAGACGACGCTTTTACACAGACAGACGACGCTTTTTTTACACACAGAGCTTTTACACACAGACGCTTTTACACACAAACACTTTTACACACAGACACTTTTACACACAGAGACTTTTACACACAGACGCTTTTACACACAGAAGCTTTTACACACAGACGCTTTTACACACAGACGCTTCTACACACAGAGGCTTTGACACACAGACGCTTTTACACAACAGACGCTTTTACACACAGACGGTTTTACACACAGACGCTTTTACACAACAGACGCTTTCACACACAGACGGTTTTACACACAGACTCTTTTACCCACAGACGCTTTTACACCACAGACGCTTTCACACACAGACGGTTTTACACACAGACTCTTTTACCCACAGACGCTTTTACACCACAGACGCTTTTACACATGTGACGCTTTTACACAGAGAAGCTTTTACACACAGAAGCTTTACACACAGACACTTTTACACACAGACGCTTTTACACACAGACATTTTTACACACAGGCTCTTTTACACACAGACGCTTTTACACACAGACGCTTCTACACACAGACACTTTTACACACAGACGCTTCTACACACAGACACTTTTACACACAGACGCTTTTACACACAGACTCTTTTACACACAGACGCTTTTACACAACAGACGCTTTCACACACAGACGGTTTTACACACAGACGCTACAGACGCTTTTACACAGAAGCTTACACACAGACGCTTTTACACACAGACGATTTTGCACACAGACGCTTTTGCACACAGAGACTTTTACACACAGACGCTTTTTTACACACAGACGCTTTTACACACACAGAGACTTTTACACACAGAGGCTTTTACCCGCAGACGATTTTACACACAAACACGTTTACACACAGAGACTTTTACACACAGAGACTTTTACACACAGAGATTTTTACACACAGACGCTCTTACACAGACGATTTTACACACAAACACTTTTACACACAAACACTTTTACACAGAGAGACTTTTACACACAGACGCTTTTACACACAGAAGCTTTTACACACAGACGCTTTTACACACAGACGCTTCTACACACAGAGGCTTTGACACACAGACGCTTTTACACAACAGACGCTTTTACACACAGACGGTTTTACACACAGACGCTTTTACACAACAGACGCTTTCACACACAGACGGTTTTACACACAGACTCTTTTACCCACAGACGCTTTTACACCACAGAAGCTTTTACACACAGACGCTGGACACACAGACACTTTTACACACAAACGCTTTCACACACAGAGGCTTTTACACACAGAAGCTTTTACACACAGACTCCTTTACACACAGACGCTTTTACACACAGACGCTTTTACACACAGAAGCTTTTACACACAGACTCTTTTAAACACAGACGCTTTTACACACAGAAGCTTTTACACACAGACGCTTTTACACACAGACGCTTTTACACACAGACGCTTTTACACACAGACGCTTTTACACACAGACGCCTTTTACACACAGACGCTTTTACACACAGACGCTTTTACACACAGAAGCTTTTACACACAGACGCTTTTACACACAGACGCTTTTACACACAGACGCTTTTTACACACAAGGGCTTTTACACACAGAAGCTTTTACACACAGACGCTTTTACACACAGACACTTTTACACACAGACGCTTTTACACACAGACGCTTTTACACACAGACACTTTTACACACAGACCATTTTACACACAGACACTTTTACACACAGAAGCTTTTAAACACAGACGCTTTTACACACAGAAGCTTTTACACACAGAGGCTTTTACACACAGACTCCTTTACACACAGACGCTTTTACACACAGAAGCTTTTACACACAGAGGCTTTTACACACAGACTCCTTTACACACAGACGCTTTTACACACAGACCATTTTACACACAGACACTTTTACACACAGACCCTTTTTACACACAGAACGCTTTACACAAAGACACTTTTACACACAGACGCTTTTACACACAGACGCTTTGACACACAGACGCTTTTACACACAGACCTTTTACACACAGAGACTTTTACACACAGAGACGCTTTTACACACAGAAGCTTTTACACACAGACGCTTTTACACACAGACACTTTTACACACAGACGCTTTTACAGACAGACGCTTTTACACGCAGACGCTTTTACACACAGGGGCTTTTACACACAGAAGCTTTTACACACAGACGCTTTTACACACAGACACTTTTACACACAGACGCTTTTACACGCAGACGCTTTTACACGCAGACGCTTTTACACACAGACGCTTTTACACACAGACGCTTTTACACGCAGACGCTTTTACACGCAGACGCTTTTACACACAGACCCTTTTCCAATCACATGAGGCAGTTGAGAAGCAATCTTCCGAGTTGCAGATTTGCAACTTTCCGCAAATGCTGTCAACTATAAAGGCTATAGCGGCTATAAGATATCCTGACCCTTTTGGATTGTGGATGCAAAAAGTGCAGCTTGGTGCCTACAATCCCATCGTAGGCGGAGCCCAGCTGGGTGTTGCACGTGCTCCATTTCTCTGGGGAAATTTGGAGGATGCCGATGAACTTCAGGGATGTTTCCGTGGGACAGTCATCAATATATGTATAGTGCTAAACTTCATCGAATTTCATAGGTCATCTACCCGGCCTGGTAAACGTTTACATAGCTATTGAACATGGCCATAGAAATAGTTGATTTGCCCATTAAAAATTGTGATTTTCCATAGTTATGTTAGTTTACCAGAGGGTAGTGTCTGGCCTCACTGAATTACTTGGATGGGACTGTTCGGAAAGTGTGGCTTGGTGGATAACTCGCTGCTTGATATGCTTGCTTGAAATGTAGCAACAAGTTTCACCAAGCGGAATCCAAAGCAAAGTGGAACCATTGACATGTTTTTTTGGCAGTTTAGTAAGTTTTTTGGTTGACGTGAATCAGTGTGAGTCAGAGAACAATAGTTTTTCCATAGATGTTGATCTTCTCCAAGAAAAGATTGTAGACAGACTGAAATTTGGCAGATTGTGGCATGGTGAGGAAAGACCCATACATATACTATATATATATATTAATATCATGGTTATCACTTGGGTCTCTAAACCGAATTGCCACAGTAGCCCTTCAAGATCATTGAGTGCAGGATTTCTTCCCAGATCATTCAAATTCGATGGATTGTTCAAATTTTAAATTGAATGCTGCTGAATTGGCGTCTATCCTGACATGTCCTCACCGTCCTAAAAACACATCGGTATCCGGGTGGTGAATGTTTCAGGTTGTTGAATGAGATGTCAGCAACTCTAGAATCAAGATTACCGCTAGTTTCGAACATAAAACTGTTTCTCTGCTTATTTCTGTGTGTGTGTAACATCTGAATAGATGTAAAACTTCTTCTCTCTCTTTTTCTTCCTTTGTCCTCTCCCTTTCTAAATCTAAATTAAATTTAGTGCAGGGGGCCACCGGGGTCCCGGGGGGGTCGGTGGCCACCGAAGACACCCCCCCGGGACCCGTGTAAACGTACCTGCATTAATCTAATAATCTAGGCTGGTTTGCATGTTTCAGGATTCAGTTCCTGACGGATCATATAATGATCCATTCTTGTCTAGTGTGATTTCCATGGTGGCTCCGACATGGTGCCATGGAGCCATTGGAGGCAACCCTTTTCAGGGTGAGTGTTGACAGACTTGAATTCTGAATTCACACATTTTAATTTGGTAATTCGTTTACGTAATGTGCAACAGCTGGCCTTTCCGTTTTGCACCTTTTGTGATGTCCCGCGCTTCCGGCTGTCCTTTATGAACCCAATGAATGCATCTCTATTGAGTGAAGCCACTTCGAACTACCAGAAACCTTTTTATCTCTGCAGCTTGCGCATTTGAAGTTCAACATGACATTCACGACAAAAGGCAACAGGCATGTCCTTTTCCTGCAGGTGTGGTCTCTTTGGTTTTTGGTGAGGTGAAACATATTGTGCATCTAATTCGTTGGAATTTGGAAGCTGTTTTATGCCATTGCGGCACGACTTGACCACGGTCCCGGTGCAGGGAATAATCGCACGACATCTTAGGCATTTAGGGACTGAATCCTGTTTATAATTAATTGTTTTGGTTTTCCTGTCGGTCATCAACTAGTCCCCCATTTGGTCCCTAATTCTCCCCGCGTGCCTCTCCGTAATGTGTCGTGGGGTTTAGGTGTGTGCGCTGTTTTTGTCAGGTCCGTTTCGCCGTGTAGGTTGGTTCCGGAGGTCCGTCTGTTCCCCTCCCCCCCCTGCGCTGTTTTTGGCCGTTTGCCCGTCGTGTGTCCGCTTTTTTCTTCCTCTTGCCTTTCAGGGTTGTCCCGGCTCCGGCCGGGTGTGTGTGTGTAACATCTGAATAGATGTAAAACTTCTTCTCTCTCTTTTTCTTCCTTTGTCCTCTCCCTTTCTAAATCTAAATTAAATTTAGTGCAGGGGGCCACCGGGGTCCCGGGGGGGTCGGTGGCCACCGAAGACACCCCCCCGGGACCCGTGTAAACGTACCTGCATTAATCTAATAATCTAGGCTGGTTTGCATGTTTCAGGATTCAGTTCCTGACGGATCATATAATGATCCATTCTTGTCTAGTGTGTGTGTTTTCTTTGTCATTGTTCCATTGCCCGTGGACACCTGAAAAAAGTCACAGGGCGCTGTTGCAGCATGTGCAACTTGGCTCTTGGGTAAGCTTGGGTCTTGATGGGGTGGTAGGCAAGAACACTGGGAACACTCCTGGTTTTCTTATGTTTTCTTCTTTGTAATGTTTCAAAGCAAGAAACAGGTTTTTTTCATTTCCCAATCCCTCAAGTTCCTGAAGCATTCATCATGGCCAACCTCCGCGAAGAAAAACAGATGTAATTAATAATGAATGATTACCAACCACCCCCTCCCTTTACCCAATGTCCTGTTGTCATTGTGCAGTCATTTCTTTCGGTTTTTCCTATGTCCCTAAACATTTGTTGTCGTAGGTTGAAGAACAAACAGTGTAACAGATTTTGACAGCCCCCCCTTCCTCCCGCATTCCTCCATCCCCCTCATTTCCGCTCGTTGCTCTTCCACGTTGCTAAACGACCATACTCCCACTGTCCAGTTGCTTAATTGATGCCATCTTGATGCCATCCACGATCCCGCTTGACAGGACATGCCTGCTGGTAATTCGCAACCAAATATGAGTATTTGGACAGCACCAGCCTACCAATGGCGGAAAGTGGACAAGATTGGGAAAAGGAAATCGTTGCTGCCTGGCAATTTTGACCAAAACGTTTGCTGCTCCTTTTCTGGTTTATTAATTAGGGGGGGTAGTCCTCCAATAGTCACAATCTAATACTTAAATGGTACCCTCCCAATTAAACAGCCTAGGGGGGTTATTAATCCAGGGTTGACATTATTAGTATCTATCGAATGCTGTTGTCATCCTGAACGAATTGACAACTCTTCGCAGAATCGATCGCTCACTTCAGACCAAGACTTAGCATGACTTAGCCTTAGCTTGTATGCGTGCTAATAGCTGTAACCGTCGGAAAAATAAAAGATAAAAAAACATATTTCGGGCAAGCTTTGTTTTGAGTGTTTCCCTCGTGCAAATAAAAAAAAATCGTGCTTTTTGGTGTGCTCTCCCTCATGCAGAAATGTACTCTAGATATCTCTAGATTGTGCTCGCTGTTACAGCTATTAGGCTTGTGTCAAGCCTTGGCTTGTGATAATAAGCTCCAAAATGGTCACCTACTCTGATCGCATCTGCAGTGCACTTACATATTTTGACATATTTTGACAAATCCCAAAGCCATGGGCGACACACATCAAGAGCCAAGGATTTGAGTACGTAGCACCATGTAGCAACGGAGTACATTCTTTGATGATTTGAACAGAAGCAATGTGCCCATACTTTGGCAAAATCCATGAGCCGCGCTTCCTTTCTTGGCTCCCAGCGGTTCCCCCATTGTCCAACGTTCTACCTTTGCTCCCCGAGGGAAATCAGGTCCAGCACCGAATCGCGACGCTGTCGGCAGCAGAAAAAACACAAAACACGCCTGATATTTAAGTGGTCTTCCATGCCCAGCAGCGGATCCATGGTGCGGTGCTGCTAGAAAAATGGTGCTCCATGGATCCCATCAACAAAAACCCCCTTTGAATGTTCGCATTAATATACCAGCACCAGCCGGATCCTATGGGATGGTCGTGACGTGAGATTTCTTGTGATGGACAGCCGGCCCAGCCACCAAGCGAGGCCTTTCAAGATGGTATCCGGTCTCCCAAAGACTGTTACCTACCTTGCCGTCTTCATCACAGGACCAAATCGGAATTCTTGATGTTGGGATATGTTGAGCTGTTGAGTCTTCAAGTTGAATCATTGAGTAATACTTGCTTGTGATTGGTGTTCGTCGAGTTTGATCAAGATCAAGCATGTTTGTTCTCCCGTGCAGTAGGATGGACTCCTACTTTTTTGCAATGTTCAAATTTCATCTTTCCCATCTCTTTCCGCGACAGTACGGAAATGCTCCAGCCAAGTTTGTTGGAAGTGTCAAGAAATGCCAAGAAACCTTTAGAAGTGTCAAGATTTGTTTTGTCAGATCCACCTGTCTTGATATGTTTTTGACATGTTTACTTTAAATATCAAGAACAAGATAGGTGGATCTTCAAACAATTTGTTTGGATTTTTCTACAATATGTTTCGTACATCTTTACTTTAAATGATGAGTCAACGAAGAAAGTCGCTGAGTCAACGAAGCCACATCTCGCCAGCCTTGACCAGCGTCCTGTGGGTGGTCCTGCTGATGCAACCCAGAGGCTGCAGCGCTGATCACCCGCGATGCGGTTTGCAGATGTGACATGATGTGACATAAATGATATGATTTTAACATGTGATTTAATAAATTATATAAATGGATGAATAAATATAGATATAGAATGGTATAGAATGGTATAGAATGGTATAGAATGGTATAGGATGGTATAGGATGGTATAGGTATAAATTTACATATATAAGTATGAAATAAAACTATAAATCTACATAACAATATATTTGTGTATGCATGCATGCATGCATGCATGGATGTGATGTGATGTGATGTGATGTAATGCAGTGTAGTGTCGTGTAATGTAATGTGATGTGATGTGATGTAGTGTAGTGTAGTGTAATGTAATGTATGTAATGTGATGTAATGTAATGTAGTGTAGTGTAATGTAATGTATGTAATGTCATGCAATGTAATGTAATGTAATGTAATGTAATGTATGGTATGTAATGTAATGTAATGTATTGTAATGTAATGTAGTGTATTTTATATGTACTTAAGGCTTCCAGATAGTTGCTTGCAATTGATCTTAACAAATCCAAGATACCAAGAAACATCTCCGGCTGTAGGCTGGGCGCTGAGAATCTCGGCTTTCTACACGGTGCGCGGCGTGCCGTGTCGGGATTGGAGTTTTGATGGCAGAAACACTAAGATTTCTTTAAGATACCATCTGGTTATTTAACACAGCCATGGTTAAAATCACCATGCTATTAACAGGTAAACCATCTATTTCGATTAGGGCCATGGCTTCCATGGCGAACTGTTAGTCATAACCAGATGGTAATGCGAATGACCCAAAGATATCTGTGATGGCCCGATTTTTGTTCCAAGCATTTTCCCCACTGTGTCGCAGATGCGTCAGGTGGACACTGGCGCATGGCAAGTGTCAATTTCACGCGATCCTCGGACCTCAGTTTTCCACAATGATATTATCGTGAATCCGAGCTTCAAAGCTGCATAGATTCCATAGATTGTGGATGATTATGGATAATGATGATATGGGGATGGGTCAAAACCTTGTACCCCTGGTGAACATCAAAATAGCTGGTAAATGGATGTTCATTCCCCTAAAAATTGTATTAATAGGTATTGATCCATAGCCATATATGATGATGGTATATTACAGAAATTTATGGTACCCGGGTACCATGGCTATCGACTTAGGGAGCTGTCTTGAAAGTCCTTCCTGGGATGCGTGGCAATCGTGTCTGGGATCTCAGACATTCTCAGACGAAGTCATAGTGGAAGAAACACCACCGCAACGAAAGATTCGTGGGAATTCCCGTAATATTTTTCTCACTATCAACATTATCATATCATTATAAATAAATATAATTGTTATAAATATATATATATAATTTATACATATATATATATATATCATGATCAACATTGCTAGAAATATGTTCAACACATATTCAACACCACTAAAACCATTATACCAACACATTTCTATCAAATGTTATATTAACATCTGTTTTATCAACAACAAACTAAACAACCATTCGACATCATTTGTTGTATAAACGCCATGATCATTTGCTGTTTCAGGTCAGCAAGTTCCTGAATCTCTTCACACCTGCTGTGCCGGGATCCTTGGGATCCACATCGCAGACTTGTAGATAACAATAAACAAAATTGATCAAACTTGATCAACAGTGTAAATTGATGTAAATTCTGTGATCTTGCACTCTAAATGCTGACTGATGTTGACTGTTTCTCGCTTGTGAAGATGGTTGATTTGCTAACCCTCGATGAAATTGCGACAGCAGCACCTGTCTGGTGCCATGTGAGGCGCTCCACGGAGGATTTCAAGGAGTTTCTCTGTGGCATCAGCCATATGACTCTCTTTGTGAGCCAGGGCCCAAAGTGGAGATCAGAATCCAGGTGTAATCTGGTGTCGGCTCCAGAAACAGTTTTACAGTTGCAACCAGGTGGCTGCTTTATGTTGCTTTATGTTGCGCCATCAGGCAGAATCTATTCCTATGAATATTGGCTGTACCCAAAGGATCCATGGTGCTGGTATATATGCTAACATGACTGGGGTATATTGATGGGATCCATGTTACCATATATAGCAGCACCATGGATCCTATGGAGTATTATTTATTTGGGATGACATGGGAAGTGTTTCTGGAAGTTGATTCTACTTTCATGCGTGACATGTGAGGAGAAAGTGCCACGCCACGCCACGGTTGAATCCAGGGCCACGGAAGTGTTGCGACCAATCGAATACGTGATGACATTCTGACATCTCAAGAAAAGCCATGACAAGCCATGACAAGCCATTGATTTTGATTACATATATTACATTGTTACATCATATAATACAGCATATTAATTACGATCATATTACGCCAAAAAGCGTGACCTATCTCTGAAAGGCCCAGCTTCCGGTGAATTGGTCACAGGTGATGTGTGCCTCATCGGTTCCAATTTGCCTGGCCGACATGTTTCAGTTTCACGGCCAGAAAGGAGGGAAGTTGGATGATCTTCGACTGAATGATGTGAGTGTTTCCTGGTTTTTGGTTCTAAAGCTAAAAAAGACGGCTGTAATGAATGGAACAATTTGGAACAAGGTCTTTCTCAAGGTTTTTCTCACGGTCTTTCTCACCTTCTTGAGGTCCAGGTGCACTTTGAGTAGCTTGGGTATGGGAAACAAGTGGAACAGCCCCGCATTTTCACTGGGAGAATTGGCGTTGCCAACGCTGGTCATGCGTAAGCGCAGCTTACGCTGGGTTGCCAGGTATATCTCTTCCATTGTTCTGATTGCCTGCGTCTTCTTCGGTGCCCCATGTGGATTGTGCACGTTGTATTCTTTCACCAATCCATATCGTTTTTTTTTGGTGATTTTGTTTAATCGAGGATTTGGACTTGAAGGTCTGAGCAGTATATTTCAGATTGCAGGTTGAGAAGTTGTTTGCTTGTCGCCTTTGTGGAGCACTGTGGATTGAAAAATTATTTGGCACCTGACATCTCTTCACACTGTCACCTCTTCCAAGCATTGTCTATGTCTAAATGACGAGGAGGTTGTCCTCGAACAATTCCCATGAATGTTTCCGATATTTTGGGACCTCGTTGGCATGGCTGGGGTGGTTTGGGTGTGGTGATGGTTCAAGAGCGGTGCGGCAGACATGATCTTCGATGATATTTCCTGGATGTAGAGAGGTAGGGTTTCTCTATGCAGCAAGTCATGCAAGCAGTTAAGCAGTACCCAAGCACTTATCTGGTTGGTGGCTTGGAACATGTTTTATTTTTCCATATATTGGGAATAATCATCCCAACTGACTTTTTTTTCAGAGGGGTAGGTATACCACCAACCAGTTATCAATTTCATAGAATTCGCTCAAACTGGGCAGGACACAGTGGTTTTACAGATCTTTCAGTGCATCATTCATTGGAACAATAATGTGGACATTTAATGTCATATAGTATATCATAGTCAGTCACAGAGTCTACTTGTCAGAGGTATCAATCCGCTTGTTCTTTTTTGGAACCGCATCCTCCCTCCAAAATCATCAGCTGCCCAAGATGGCAGCAGCTGATGTGGCGCACCTACCGAAGATGTCATGGCTCACTGTGCCACCCCAGCTGCTTGGACGGCAAAGCACCATGGATTTTGACCTGGAAACAGACCTGTTGCTTGTGCTGCTAGAGGCCCTTGTACAACTTGTTGCATTTTATTGCAGGCATCACAGAAGTCACGGAGATCGGATATCATCGGCAAATTGCAGGCTGATACACATGTGTACAGTCACTGACGCTTTGTTCCTACTTGTTACCTTGGTGCATCACCTATACAGATCTGTAGTCTCTACTACAAGAGTTTGAATTTCAAGACTGTGCCGATGCAATCAACTGGGTTTGGCATCGGCAAAGGGTGACCTGGGCTTCGCTTGTGCTTCGAGAGCATCTGAGTCTTCTTGGATTGTATGTCCATATACTTTAAACATCTCTGTAAATATTTGTTTATATAGCTATGCGATGCTATGCGACTATATTAATTACTTTAGTGATATCATGTATCCAATAGATCTATAGGTAATACTTATCTATTCATGATAATCTATAGTAATCCAAGATCAACTACCATCTGGTTATGACTAACATAGCCACGGAAAATCACCATGCTATCAATAGGTAAATCAACGAACGTTCTATGGGCCATCTAAGAATCTATACCATGACTAGATTAAATAACCAGAGGGGTATCCCTACTACAGTGGTTTGGAGCGCCACGGCTTAGGAGGGTTGAAACCTAAGACACAACGGAACACGCATGCCGCCACCCAGTTTCTACATGTTTCTACTATATTAATCTAACAGTCTACCTGAGATCATAGCTGAGATCACACGCCCAATCGCCGAGGCCGCTGAGTTTCAATCCTGAGAGCAATCCAGGTGTGGGGACCGTGGCGTGGGGACCGTGGCGTTGGGGTGGCGACCGGATTGCTTGATGGAAAGGTATATTTGATATATCATCCGTATCACCAACAAACATGTTCGCTGCAACCTGAACGTTTGCCCGGAGTTGATGTCCCGCAATCAACGTATTGTTCAGAGGGGGTGGCTAATTTTGATCCCTCATGAAGATAAAGTTGATGTTATTTCCCAAATCAACATATTGTTCTGAGGAGGTGGCAAATTTTGATCCCTCATGAAGATAAAGTTGATGTTGTTAGCCCGTTCAGCATATTGGTCATAGCGGTTGGCGGATGTTCTTCCCTCATGAAGATAATGTTGATGTAATTACCCCATTCAACATATTGGCTATAGAGGGTGTGGCGTGTTGTTACCCCGTTCAGCATATTGGTCATAGGGGGTGGCGGACTTTGATCCCTCATGATGATCAGGTGATATTGTTTCCTCATGAAGATAACTGTATTCAAGGTATCTTTCACATGCCACCGTGGCCTAATTTTCCTCCTTGGCCTTGCTTGGATTCGCAACTTCCCAGAAACACAGAATTGTCTCTGCTTTGTCACAATGATGAGTCTGGGCGAACGTTAAGGTTGCGGACAACATGTTTAAGAATATACTATATCATCTACTGTATCTAGGTTTAAGAATATATTTAAGTAATCTAAGTTGGAATAAACATCTATATGATATTCTAATTTGGCATTCATTTTGATCTATCATCCAAAAAATCATCTACTGGATGACTACAGATGTACATATCTAAATCTACATCTTTCAAGAAAAAAATGCGCTGAAGTTTCTCTCTCAAAATGTTGCAACTTTAAAATTTCAACGCACCAAGGTTGTTTTGACATGTAGAAGCACGGCACCAAGTCTTACTGCAGGTCTTGCAGCTTCTACTTCCAGGCTCTTTGTGTCCAATTTCATGAAGGCAGCGATGCAACGACTGGACGACTGGAAGGATCTGGAAGGTATCTCTGCAATACAAATGGCAATTTTCTCATAAATTGAATTGGTTATTCTGCCAGGGTAATTAGATGTAACTGGATATAACTGGATATAACTGGATGTACCTGGTGAACAGCTTTTTGCCTAAATGGAACAAGTCAAAAATCACCAATTCTGAGTGCCATGAAATTTGGCGTCCCAGTGATACACTGGGCGGATGGAGAAGATCGAACCACCAGCTGCGCCCTGCTGCGCCCAGTCTCGCAATTGCTATGAAGAGTCAAGGGATGTGAGGACCCGCCCCGTTCAAAAAAGGGGGTTTTATCTCATGGATTGATTTTTTTTGAGCTGTGATGTTCTGAAGTGAAATCTCAGTGATTGATCTGAGCTGTGATGTTGTGAAATCTCAGTGATTTCCATGTGATTTCCATGTTTGATTCCTGACTTTCAACGTGGTTTGCCATTTTGAAATCCAAACGTCAACGTGGGCACAGTAGCTGGAGATTTGGAGTCGGCTTTCGGACAATTCCTTCACCTTTTCAGGTTCTCCTTTTATTGCTAGATACCCTCTGCTATTGAACATGACCATAGAAATAGTGGATTTTCCCATTAAAAATGGTGATTTTCAATAGCTATGTTAAATTACCAGAGGGTAAACCTATGCAAATCGACAAGAATTCCTTTTTTCTTGGACATTTTGACTGTGCAATTACTTGGAGTAAAGCTACAGTCACTCACTACTTCCGTAGAAGTTTGTGGCCCCCAGACTCAACACCAGGACAATGATACGCAACGACCCCTTGGTTCGGGCACCTGATGCCAGCCTGAGAATATATATAGAGAATATAGAACATTAATATGGTACACGCATATTAGTTATTAGTCATAGGTGAACAATATGATAGATTCTGATAGATTGTCATCCTCCCATGTCCCATAAATTCCCATAATATCTCTAAGGCAGACTGGTGATGTTGATGTGGACGCTTTGACACCTTGACCTCCGCCCCGACTCAGGAAGTTTGGGCCAAGCTGAACGCACCTGCAAAATCCGCGGGGGCCTTGTGCCAGTGCCGTGTCCTATGTGGCTGATGTAAGATTTCTCCTGCTCAGCAGGTTGCTTTATGTTGCTTTCTGGAATTTCGAATGAGCAGTCTGTGAGTTTCAGAATTCTGCTCGCTCGTCGTGACAGATCCGATGACACATTCAGCAAATAGCTGATTGAGAAGATGAACGTTTAGCGATGCTCAGCCTATAGATATATATTATATATATGCATTGAGTTGCGTTGGCTTGTGAACAGTGAGTTTTTTGTCCAGAGCCACCATGGAGCAATCTGAGCATTCTCATTTGACGATCTTCATCCTGGAGAAAACCAAGTAGCACATTGGAAAGAAGGAACAAGTTGAAAGTTAAAGTGCTTAAGATATCTTAAGATCTGTTTCTCCCCTAAGAAATAGCACCCAAGTTATCCCAAGTTTACATCAGCAATGCCTAGAGGTTGATGTGAACACCGGGCTCAACACCAGCATGAAGCCGCTCCGTCCCCGCAGTGTTCGGAGCCCAAAAAAGCAGGTAGACATGTTGATCATCATATACCGCGCGTCAATGCTGGTTTATGTGCATGTGTGTAAATGGACACCTCTATAAGAAGAAATAAAATATATACATGCTAAATCAACACACTCATGCCTCCCTTAAAGTCATGTATTCACGGGAAACTGGCAAAGACCACCATTAAAACCTCTGAGTAATACTGAACGGTCAAAAGTGCTCTGCACCTTTTTCTGCTCTGCTTGCCAAAAACGTGGTTTTGGGAACTAGATCACTTTTTCCAGTCTCCCATAGTAGCTATGACCATCCATCAAGTGTATATATGCCCCCAGCTGCAATATCATTCTCCCATCTAGGCGCAAATGACCTCATTGACTCGTGCTCGCAGTGCCGGGGCTTTGCCAGGCGTGGCAGTGGTACTGTAGATGCAGTGCTTTGAAATGCTTTGAACTATGATACGCAGCATATGCATTTGAATGTGCCCTCTGCTACTGCTTTTTTTTGAACCGGATATGTGGACGAACAGTGATTTCCACATAGGAGGGTGTCGAATGTGTTGAATGTGATACTTTAGGGATTTCATAGGGTTTCCTTGCCATGCCATGCAAGAAAATGCACTCCAAGGACTCAAAGCTGAGACTTGGCCGGTGCCTGCGCGGTTTCCCAGGGTGCCCGTCAATTCCTTGATTTCACTAAGCTTTTGGTTGAAGATGATTCGGTTGCAAGAGGTTCGAATTTGATGACTTTAATGACCCCAGGTGGCAGTCTTGAATGGCAATACTCTGGGAGCATCCCATCTCCAAACGCAGTCTCCAAAGGGAGTGGTTCTAACAGTGCCGTTCAAGCAGTGCTGTCTTGTACATGGTTCTAACTACAAGCTTGGGCTTGGCCTCCCTACTGCATACCCCGTAGTATACATACATATATACATACATACATACATACATACATAAATACATACATACATCCATGCATGCATGCATGCATGCATCCATACATACATCCATACATACATCCATGCATGCATGCATGCATGCATACATACATACACTACATACAGACAGACAGACATACAGACAGACAGACATACAGACATACAGACATACAGACATACAGACATACATACAGACATACAGACATACAGACATACAGACATACAGACATACATACAGACATACAGACATACAGACATACATATATACAGTCATACAGTCATACAGACATACAGACATACAGACATACAGCTTACATACATACATACATACAGACATACAGACATACAGACATACAGACATACATACAGACATACAGACATGAAGACATACAGACATACATACATACAGACATACATACATACAGACATACAGATTACATACAGATTACATACAGACATACAGACATACATACATACATGCAGACAGACATACAGACATACATACAGACATACATACATACAGACATACAGACATACATACATACAGACAGACATACATACAGACATACATACATACAGACATACAGACATACAGACATACATACGTACAGACATACATACATACATACAGACATACAGACATACAGACATACATACAGACATACAGACATACAGACATACAGACTTACAGACATACATACAGACATACAGGCATACAGGCATACAGGCATACAGGCTTACAGACATACATACATACATACAGACATACAGACATACAGACATACATACATACATACATACAGGCATACAGACATACAGACATACATACATACATGCATACATACAGACAGACCGCATGCATGCATACAAACAGACATACATACATACATGCATACATACAGACAGACATACATGCATGCATACATACATACAGACATACATACAAACAGACATACATACAGACATACATACATACATACATGCATACAACCAGACAGACATACATGCATGCATGCATACATACATACAGACATACATACAAACAGACATACATACATACAGACATACATACATGCATACAACCAGACAGACGTACATGCATGCATGCATACATACAGACATACATACATACATGCATACATACAGACATACATACATGCATGCATGCATACATACATACAGACATACAGACATACATACAAACAGACATACATACATACAGACATACAGACATACAGACATACATACAGAGATACATACAGACATACAGACATACAGACATACAGACATGCAGACATACAGACATACAGACATACAGACATACAGACATACAGACATACAGACATACAGACATACAGACATACAGAGACATACATACAGACATACAGACATACAGACATACACATACAGACATACAGACATACAGACATACAGACATACAGACATACATACAGACATACAGACATACAGACATACAGACATACATACATACAGACATACAGACATACATACATACATACAGACATACAGACATACAGACATACAGACATACAGACATACAGACATACAGACATACAGACATACAGACATACAGACATACATACAACACATACATACAGACATACATACATACATACAGACAGACATACAGACATACATACAGACATACATACATACATACATACAGAGAGACAGACATACAGACATACATACATACATACAGACATACATACATACATACAGAATTACAGACATACAGACATACAGACATACAGACATACATACATACATACATACATACATACAAACATACATACATACAGACATACATACATACAGACAAACATACAGACATACATACATACAGACATACATACAGACAGACATACAGACATACATACATACATACAGACATACATACATACAGACATACAGACATACAGACATATGTATATATCCTCATGCATACGCAAACGCCATCGAGAATCCTCGTTTCGAACGTCATATGAACTGTGACAGATGAGAAAAAATCAAGGTGAACCCAGAAACGGGCCGGCCCGTTCGGCATGATCCGCTGGGGAGCCCTGTGGGATCAAGTGGGATCAAGTGGGGGAGGGTATCCATTTTGACTGGAATCTGAAGGACCCTGAAGATCTTGGGAGATATATATATATATATATTAATTCATTATTAATTTGTTAATGAATAGATGCCTATATGTGAATTGATGATTTAGTAAATGCAACGGATGATCCTATTATTACATCGTCTCTTGGAAGTCAAACGTGGAGTTTGACTGACCAGTATGCCTGCCCAGGCGTCAACGGCAGTTTTACCCCACTGGTTCGCCGTTAACTATGGGCGAGGGGCTTGGAGTGTTTGCGCGTGCGACCTGGTCCTGGGTGTAGGCTCCGTTCTGACAGCATAGACGCGCCGCTGTTCTCAAGGCTACACTGAAGGGATCTTTGCCAATCCTTCACGGAAGGTGGGCTTGGGAGCTGCCAAACTGTGCCCGTGTAGCAACCCTTCACACCCCTGCATGAAATACATGAGCGCCGAGTTGACTGAAATCCTGTAGAACACTACACTGGCAGATACAATCAAAGAGGTGCAATCTGTATGGACCAGATTTTTTTTTTTTGGCATCCGTTGATTTTCAGGTCTAGCATGGCAGGAGTGTATCACTCGGTGCCCAGGTTGGACCAGAGGTGTACATGTCGCAACGCTACGGCACCCGTTCAGTCCGAAAGCCCAAACACTGTGCCAAGGGTCAGAGACAAGGGTGGGTTACAAACTCTTTGCATGAATCGGAACAAATGGGTATGAATCAATACCTATTAATACCATTTTTAGGGGGATGAACATCCATTTACCAGCTATTTTGATGTTCACCAGGGGTACAAGGTTTTGACACACTGCCAAATTTCAAATGGGTGCAGCTAGTCTGATTCATGTTATAGGTGTTATAGCGATCACCTACAATCGCCTTACTCCGACTGTTGCGATTTCATTTCAGGCACAGAAGTGCAAAGTAGACTCATGTATGGCCGCCAATGCCTACATTAAACATCATTAAACACAAGTCCTATCCCATAGGATCCATGTATGCTATATATGGTAACATTTACTATCCATATACCCCAAATGTTAGCATATATACCATACATGGATCCTATGGGTATAGTCATGCATCTAAAATATCATAAAAATATCAAGAATGTCGCAAGCATGCCGTATACAGCAAGCATGCCAAAGATGTCGTAAGCATGCCGTAAGCATACCATAAGCCAGTCTTATTTGGTGTGAAACACATGAGCAGTGTTTTATCAACCCCTGTTGGTTGATGATGATATATGATGATATTTAATATGGGGCCAGCAGCTAGCAGCTAGCAACTATACAATGGGGAATATCATTTTTTCGTTATTGGAATCCCTATGTTAACTATCAACCAGCAGCTGTATGAAGGGATGACACAGGGTTTTGAACATTGCCTACCCCATAGGATCCATGGTGCTGGTATATATGCTAACATTTGGAGTATATTGATGGTAAATGTTACCATATATAGCATACATGGATCCTATGGGTACATAATTTCACAGTCTCTGTGCAGACCGAATGAGCTGCAAGGGTGACAACGTGAGTTGCAAAAGGAGGGATACCACGTAGTGGCAGCAGAAAGCAACCATGGTTGATCAAGATGTATTTGCATTCTGTGGATTTCTTGTTTTGGTTCCCCATGTTTTACACATCCCAATCATGTAAGATATATTTACATTTGGGAGATTTTTACGGAATGATTTTGAATACATGTATATGATTGTATATGATTATTGATAACTGTGTATCTAATAAATATAATTATTAATAATTGTAAGTATCCTATACGGTAACGCCATTTAAATATGTGGAGGGCGGGCCAGACCGCGAGGCCCCGGAGGTAGTATGAAATACCAGTTCGTATATTTAAATGTGGTTGCCGTATGTTTAAATGAATTGGATTCCGTATGTTTAAATGGCCGGGCGGGCCAAGGAAAACCTTCCCGGAGGTAGTCTAAAATACCTGTTCGTATATTTAAAAGTCCGTATATTTAAATGTAGTTACCGTATAATACATCAGGGGCGAAATGACATGTACTGGTCGTGCAAAATCACGGTGCCTCACGACCTCATAAACCGATGGACTTGTTTTTTATTATAAGGTACCTGGTATTAGGATGTATTAGGGGTCCCTAGGTCCCTCAAGAATAACAATCTCCCTAGCGAGAAAGAGTGATTGATCTTTTTAAACTCTATTCAAATATTGCCAAACATCGGATTTCGAAGGGTTCCCGAATAATAAATCAACAGCATAGTAAGAAAAAACACATAAATGGACGCTTCAAAATTGTTCAAAACCCCAAATAATATCCTTTTTAACAATTGAACAGCTATTCAAATATGGCCAAAGATCGGCTTTCGAAAGACTCCCTAATAATCACACAGATTCAAAAATCCTTTCATTGAAAAGGAAAAACATGTCGCTTTCAAAATCTTTCAAGCCCATATGCTCCATGTATGGAATATTTACCAACATTTGCCCTAAAAATCACCCAAATGTAGGTAAATATACCATACATGGAGCATATGGAAGGACTAATTAAGATCCGTTTCTACATCTTTTCAAATGTCAAGAATCGCATTTCGAGGGTTCCCTGATATATCAAAAGGCCTGATTCAAGACATATTCAAAACGACACAATCCTCCGGTTTCAAAATCTTTCAAGCACAAAGTAAAATCCGGTTTAAATCTTTTGAATATCTACAGTATATTAATATATTCCCCAAGATTCGATTTCGAATGGTTCTCTAACAATACAATAAATGCCCTTGCCCAAACAAAATGCTCTCGAAGACCTTTTTTGAATTTCAAAAAAGCAGTAAAAGCTATTCAAATTGTGCCAAGCATTGGATATTGAATGTTTTTTTGTGATGATAAATTAACATCCCCAACAAAGAGACAAGCGACTCCTGAGATCCGGGGAGCCTGACTGATGCGTGCAATGGGGGTCCAAGCTGCCAAGCTCAAACACAACAGATTTACAGAATTGAGTTTTGAAAGGGTTTCATTGACCTTGAGGATCCAGAACCTATGTTTTTTTTACATTTTTTTTTCTATTTGGAGGATGTTTAGCCAGGCAATGGTTTTGTGAACAAAGCCGGTAGGTTGTGCTTATACGTTCCATAAGGATGACCAAAAACCTGTACGTGGGTCTTGGGGTCTTCATTTTGTAGAGCTCTGGTGAAAAGAAACACCCAATTTTGTGCTGCTGTGGCTTCAGATTTTGTAGATGTACTGGCTTTCATTTGAGGCTATAGGACCCAATTTTGTATATGAAAATACCACATGCGGTCTCATTTTACAGTAGTTGTAAAATCAGAGCCATCAGGTGGCAGGGGTTATTCAAATACACTTCTCGTATATATATATATATATAATTATATACACATCTAACTATATAAGAACATATTGCATATATATATGATTGTTTGAGTATATACATACATACATGCATACATACATACATACATCCATACATACATACATACATCCATACATACATACATACATACATCCATACATACATAATCCATACATACATACATACATACATCCATACATACATCCATACATCCATACATCCATACATCCATACATCCATACATACATACATACATCCATACATACATACATACATCCATACATACATACATACATCCATACATACATACATCCATACATACATACATACATCCATACATACATACATACATCCATACATACATACATACATACATCCATACATACATACATCCATACATACATACATACATCCATACATACATCCATACATATATACATACATACATCCATACATACATACATCCATCTATCCATACATACATACATCCATACATACATACATCCATCCATACATACATACATCCATACATACATACATCCATACATACATACATCCATACATACATCCATACATACATCCATACATACATACATCCATACATACATACATACATCCATACATACATACATACATCCATCCATACATACATACATACATCCATCCATACATACATAATATCTCTATGGAGAAACTACACCCATTCGCATGCTGTGCGGGCCAGGGGACACACGCCCTTAACGCTTCGCCTGCCAGGCACAAGCCGTGAGCTTCGCCGATCGCCGAAGTCCTCTGGCGGTCTTGGTGGACTCTACGGGGGATCTATCGGTTTGGCGCTAAGGATTTATCGGAGCAGCTGCAGTTATTGGTGGTTGTTGGTTGGTGGTTGGTGGTTGGTAGTTGGTAGTTGTTGATGATGTTGATAATCCACTCATAATCCATTAATAACAATTTAATAACTATAAGTATTGTTAGATCGTCATTTTTTTTTAAACGACATGTTGCATTTGTTGCAGCAGTTATTTGCTGGATTCATCTTGACTGGTGTTTTTTTTTCGCAATGTGTTCAACTATGGTATTCAATCAGCTAGCAATAAGCTTCATTCATGTGGCTATGGGTCGATACCTATTAATACCATTTTTAGGGGAATGAACATCCATTTACCAGCTATTTTGATGTTCACCAGGGGTACAAGGTTTTGACACACTGCCATATGACTATGGGACAATCAAGTTCCATAGGACCTTTTTTGGGCGGAAACCACCGTTCTCTCTGGCGACTTCTGTGCGGCATTGTCGTTCAGAGTCTGCAGCGAACGCTGCCTTGGAAGCTGCAGTCGGCTCACAGCGAAATTTGTTTCTGGGGGAGTAGATGTTTGTTACATGGGTATGGATCAATACCTATTAATACCATTTTTAGGGGAATGAACATCCATTTACCAGCTATTTTGAGGTTCAATGATGTTCACCAGGGGTACAAGGTTTTGACACACTGCCACATGTATATTTTGTATATTGTTGTGTGTCACAGCCAAAGCAAACGGTTCAATTCATTTCAATTCGAGTTTCCACTGTTCTGTCACAGTTCTGTTTCCAAATAGACCAGCACAAAGATTCCCAGCCTCCACTGGGGTCCTTTGAAACCATGGTGTGTCACGATACTTCTTGATGGACCAAGAATCCTATGGCCAGCCCATTTGCTGAGCACTCAGCGGATTGAGGTGGACGAGGGCTGACGTGTCCGGTGGTGTCCGGTGGTGTCCGGTGAAGATGGTTAAAAATGTTTAAAGATGTTTGAAGACCAGTTTCGGAAACTGAGTTTTCACATCAAGTGTACACCAACTCGTCGCCCTCGCCATGCCTAGCAGCTAGCTCGTCACCATGCCTCAGCGCCGACCTTTTTTTTTGCAAGGGAATCATCGGTGAAGGGCTTCAGGAGTGGTGAAAATTAAAACGGGACCAAAGATTCGAGTCTATTTTAGTAACTACTTATTGGGCTATTTTAGTACCATTTCTTGGGTGATAGGTACCCAATTTTGACCCATACGTTGTACCGCTGCAGATCAGCCTGCAAGCCAAAGTTGACACAGCTCGGGATCCCGTCGATCACATTGAACCCAGAACCAGAACCAAAAAAAATACCCTCTGGTAAACTAACATAACTATAGAAAATCACCATTTTCAATGGGAAAATCCACTATAAATGGTCATTTTCAATAGCTATTTTGACATAACCAGAGGGTATTGGTGTTCAGATTTCAAAGTCTTCACTATCTTCACATGACCACAGGTCATCACAGGTCCCGTTCTGCCACTTGTCCCACTTGTCTCTGAAAAAAAACCCTTTGTATCGGTCATGATTTGACGCCTTCTTTGGCCGATTTCAGAGAATTTTAGATCTAGTTTTTTAGAGTAGGAAAATCTTAGATATGATGCAAGTTTTGTCATGAAGGGTGGCCAAGTTGAGACATGCAAACATTGATTTGTTGATCACTGCCTGGGGATGGGGTGAACTTGGCCCTGCCTGAATTGGGCAGAATTCTGGTTAGAACGGTAAAATTTTGATATCCAAATAACTCCACCAGGAGGCAAGGAACATGTTTAGTTTTTTTTTTGAGTGGGGTTCTTTAGCTATCGTTCGTTTTTTTTTAAAGTTTGTTTAGTGTTGTGTAGGGGGAGTAGGGCCACCAGGAAAACCTATAGAAATCTAAAGAAACCGTGTTTGATTCGATGTTAATATAGCTTATGAGTTTTCATTGGCAATATTAAGAGAGATGTTCAGGGGATAGCCCACCGAATCATGTTGAATCAAGAGAGGACAGCACCTGGGAAGTGATGGAAATTCCTCGTTGGGGTGTTGAGAGCAGACTGGAACAGAGCAGGGGCACAAGGAATATGATAGAAATATTCTGTGGAATTTAAAGGAAATTAGATTTTCTCTATTAGAATTTGTTGGTTTTTGGATTCCTATATATATATATATATATATAGTTTTTCGTTTAGTTGTAGATATTGCGTGCATTTTGCAGTGCGAACAAATCAAATCAAGAGGGGAACAGCTGGGATCTGTATGATTGTCAAGCTGCTTGAAGCATTTCGAAAAGTGGCTGTAGACAGATTGAATGACCTGGAGGGACCATCAATTTTTTGATAACCCATGACGGATCCATGGTGCTGGTATATTAATGCTAACATGACTGGGGTATATTGATGGGATCCATGTTACCATATATAGCAGCACCATGGATCCTATGGGTAATGACACGGCTGCTCAGTGATACATGAATCATCATGAATCTACAATAATTAGCCGTGACATGGCTGCCCAGACCCGGCTTTTTTTCCGCTTCTGTGACGCGGCAGGTTCTGGATTTGTTTGGAGACCGAGGCTCCAGTGAATTCAGATGGTTGCGTTGAACCTGACCGATTGTTGATGTCGAGGTTGTTAAGCGTGAACACTTCAACAGATCCACTCTGCGAAATCGATCGAACTACTTTGCAAGTGCTGGCAAGCACCATATTTTTTTCATAACGACACAGCAATAGCTGTACCCCAAGACAGTCGCAATGGCTGTCTACAGCTGTACCCCAAGATTCCTTATTGCATTGTTCATTGAACTCTGAAACTTGCAGAAATCAACTTGGCTTCAGCTTTCACACTGTACAGCAACTCTACTGGCCCAGGGATGCGTCAGCCGCAACCACTGCAACCACTGCATTTGTTCTCTCCTCAGTCTTTTTGGTTTGGCAACCCATTTGGTTGGATTGAAAGAACAGGCAACTTAAAACCGTTCATGACACATCCTGTTGAACCAGTTTTTTTTTGGTATTTGGGCATATTTGGGTTCGCTGTTTACGCACCTTGTGTAACTTTCCAACACCAGGAGGACACCAACTCCGGACGCTTTCTTGACCCGGTCAACTTCATCGCGGCAGGAGCGCAACGACTCGTGCGGCTGTTTGGCATGCCGCTGAACTATTCAAAGTGGGGGAACTCGGGACTCGGTTTGGAGATCATTCGGATTCGCTACGATGGATTTTATACAATTTGGAGACATATATTTGCTTGTTCTTTCATGTTCATATTTCATGCGGTTGGGATTTTGGAGGGGTTTTGGTGGGATTTTAGTGGGGTGCCCTAAGATATTGCTGCACACTTACTTGGATGGTTACACCACGAGGAAGTACCACCAACTGCGCAACGCATCGGGGCAAAAGATCATCAGAGATCTTTTTTTTCCATCACCGCAATCTCACTGTGTCTCACAGTCTAAGCGAAGCACGTTGCTGGTTGGGAGGTCCTTTGGGGCAGCGAAGGGGGGTCAAGGTTCGACCATTTGGTCGATTCAGATGACGAGAAACCCGATCCACAGGCCATGCCCGGCCAGGGCTGCGAGAAATCATGTCTCTTCATATATTTCCAAGTGCTAAGCTGCTATGGGGTTCCATCTCTACGCCAGTAATGCCCAAAATGCTCGACAATTTCTAGTTTTAAGTCATGTTTTGTCGTCAGGCAATCAGGGGTGAGATGCAGTGCTGAGTTGCTGCGTGATGTGATTTGGGTCCGCCGGCATTCCGAGATGTATGAACCCAGGATTTATAGATGTATCACTTGAATATCAATTTAAGAGTCAGTGAGTCATGTTGAGACCCACATGACCAGGTTCTACATGTGAGCCACAGACAGAATCTTGACGTCCGATTTAACAGCTCAATAGCGGAACACATCTTGGAAAACGCAGTGGAAAACGAAAAATGAAGCCGGTTTCTTGCAAAACCTCCTGCTTCGTCCTTTTCTCTTTGCAGTCCTTTCCTTTTGTTTTTCTTTGAACCGCCATCCTTCCTTTCTGCCTTTCGATTTCAGATTTGTTGTTCTCTTTTTCTGTGACCTTTTTTTTTTTTAATATGGTTTCTGTCGATGTTCCGTAACGAATCCAGGCCCAAAACGAAACCAAAATTCACGAAAGCAGCTTAGACCAGACCACGACCTTTTCCTCCCTTACTTTTCTCCTTCCTTTCCTCCCTTACTTTGCTCCATTTCCTTTCTTCATTCCTTTCTCCCTTCCCTCCTTCCCTCCTCCCTTACTTTCCTTTTCATGTGTCCTTTCTTTTCCTTTCCTTTTTCCTCCCCGTTTCCATTTCCTTTTCCTTTTCCTGTCCTTTTCTTTTTTTTTTCCCTTTTCTTTTTTCCTTTCCTTTTCAATCTCCTTTTCATTTTGTTTTTCTTTTCCTTTTCCTGTTCCTTTCCTTTTCCTGTTCCTTTCCTTTTCCTTTTCCTTTCCTTTTCTTTTCCCTACACAGATCCTTACAGATCCTGACATTGTCAGCGTCCTCACACAAAATACGGACCAGATCTGACCTAAACTATATTATTGCAGCACACTCCTCCATCACCCTTATCTTCCTCCTCCTTCTCATCATCGTCGTCGTCGTCGTCATCATCATCATCATCATCGTTATCATTGTCATAATTGTCATCATCGTCATCACCGTCGTCATCGTCATCGTCATCGCCACATCGTCACGGCCATTGCCACCTTCATCGTAATCATCATACTGTACGATGTCGTATTTTCTGCTCCGTGTTTGTTTGCCTTTTGAAAGCAGGCCGCTGCTGAAGCGCGGCGGAAAATGCTTGAGGAGATGCGCGCGAAAGTGGAGGCAGCGCAGCATTTCGCAGCATTTGGTTCCAATCTTTTCCAATCCTTGCGATGGAATTATAGGGCATCCAAGACCCCATATGCTCCATGTATGGTATATTTACCTACATTTGGGTGGTTTTTAGGGCAAATGTTGGTAAATATTTCAGCACCATCCAGCACCATGGAGCATATAGGGGACTATCAAAGCTCAAATGAACTGTAAAGCCGCCCGATCCCAGGTTGGACCTGGGGGTTGCATCCCAGCAACCGAACCATACCCCAAGTGTACTTCGACTTAGAGCATCTGAGAGCCATGGCCCTGGAAACCACAACCCACAACTATCCATAGTGGTAGAACCTGTGGTTGCCGTTGGAATTTCACGACCCTTGAAATACCCTTTCGAACTGCTTGTCATCGTTTTTGGTATCTTGTAACCCATAGGATCCATGGTGCTGGTATATAACATTTGGGGTATATTGATGGTAAATGTTACCATATATAGCATACATGGATCCTATGGGTAAGGAGGCGACGGGAAACAATACTTCGTTACCACGGTTCAACCGTGATTCGATCGAACTACCAGAAGACTGGACTGTTGGAATGTGAACCTCCGCGAAATGAATATGTGCAAAACCCAATTAACACCACTTCCCATCAGTTGCCAACTCATGAGATATGAGATATGAGAAGAAACGATTCATGCAGAATCATTCGCTTGAGCCGCTTGTGAACTACGTGTCCCAAACCATGAAAGGGCAGAGTCTGGTGGACTGCAAAAATCAACACTGTGTCTTCGCTGTGAACGCCGCTATTTTTGGTGTTTTTCATTGCTGATATCACAGTCAGGTTTGAGCTTCTAGACCAGAACTTGTTACACTTCTCGTTTTGTGCAAGCCCAGTCTCTCCTCCCAAACCGCGTCCTCTCCGTTTCTCCAAGGCACAAATGTCTTGAGATTTCAAAAGGGGCAGCTTCACGCATGCCAAGGATGAATTTGGATATGTGAAATGTCAATGCAACTGACATGTATGTGCAAAAAGACAGGGGAAAACAGCACTCCCCCTTTGGAATTCCGTCAGGGATTTCCAATTTCCTGACTCAAACTAGCCCCTCTCACGCTCTTTGCAAGTCAAACAAAATGGTGTTGGCTTCGCATCTTTGACCCAAGGGCATCGATCGTCAGTATGGATTGCGTTTCCATGAACTGACAACAAAAGATTCGTTCCTGGTGGTGGACGCCCTCGCGTTCTGAGCGCCACCCCTCTGCAAACTTGGCACCATTTGAAAGTTCGAGGCAAGTTGACTTTGGCTCCTTGGAGATGTTTGCAAGTGAGGGCACTGTGATATACTGATCCATACTTCGTTCTCATGACTGGAAATCGAAGACCTTCTTCTTCACTCTCTTCTACCGGTTCAATCAGAACTGGTGGTAGCGGAGCTAAATTGGCCTGACGCCACAATTCTGTCTCTTCTTCTTTGATCTTTTCCAGTTCTCTTTCGATTCTTTTTTCAAGGCTTTCTTGTGCAGGGCCGGGGCCGCCAGAGGAGCTAGACGACGCTTCCTCCTGGCCGGGGAGGCGGACTGGCTCTCCTCTAGCCAACCCCTTCTCACCCGATGGGGAGGGCTGCAAAGCCTTCTCCCTGCCCCCTGATGGGAGGCGGACTGGCTCTCCTCTAGCCAACCCCTTCTCACCATCAGCGCAACCTGCCTTTCGTTGGCCGGCCTTTTGACCGCTCTTTCTTTCTTTTTCTGCGGGGCCGGGACCACCTGAGAGACCAGGCGATGTCGCCTCAGGGCCGGGGAGGCGGACTGGCTCTCCTCTAGCCAACCCCTTCTCACCCAGCAGGGAGGGCTGCAAAGCCTTCTCCCTGTCCCCTGATGGGAGGCGGACTGGCTCTCGTTCAGCCAACCCCTTCTCACCATCAGCACTACCCGCTTTTCTTTGATCGGCCGTCTGATCACTCCTTCGACCTTCTTGCGCAGGGAGACTTCGGATCTGCTTTTCGGGAATCTGTTCGTTTCCCCGATTCCACAATCCTACTCCTACCTTCCACACATGTTGGGCCACAAGAGTGATCAAGACCACCAGGATGGCAAATGCTGCCATGATGAGCTGTAATTCTTTCTGTCCTTCTTCCATATCTTCTTCCTCCTGACTCTTTCCAGCTGAAATCATAGCGGCCAACGTGATGAGCTTCAAGGCCGTTGCCGCTTGTGACATCTTCGCACCATCCATCCCTTTTCTTGTATCCTCAGAGGTCGCATGAGCGATCACACTGGGCTTCAATGCTGCCACAGAGGTCGCAGGTGCGATCACACTGGGCTGCATTGGGATGGATGACATGCCAAGATGCTGCTTGAGGACATCGATCCGCTGTGATGCCAATGCCTTTGTGCCAATGTCGGCGACCATTCGATCACCAGGAAGGTGGCCCACACCCCACTCACCAGAGTGGACTGCCTGTCTGGTGTAGGCAGCTCTCATCCTCAAGTGCCTAGTGCGCCAGTTTCCACCTTCATTAACCAAGATAGCTAAAGCTGATTGGCTATCTGACCAGGCAAACTTCTTGATATCCTGGAACAATTCGCTCACTATCACCGCCACAGCTTCGCCAGCGCTGATTGCCTCTACTAGCTCTGTCAGTTCAGACTCGGCTGTGGACAACGTCACGGTTGTCTGCCTGCCGCTTCTCCAAAAAAGGGGACTGTCGTTGGCAAACACAACGTAACTTCCATGTGACTCCTCTCCATCTGGAGAAAACGATGCGTCTGCAAAAGCTTGGATGCAGACTTCTCTTTCTTTTTGTTCTCCTCCTTCAACCACCGTCCTCTTCAAATAGCCTCTCGTCTGAGACGCTGTTTCCAAAACAGACTTGGTAGCCTTGGTGACATTGGCTCCCATTCTTGCGACACTGAACATCAAGTCTGGACGGGTTCGCGTGACCAGCCACAGCAACTCTCCTACCTCTTTTTGACACCTCCTGACTTGATGCAAGGCAGGAGTTTCTGGATCTTCTTCCATGATGGATTGGTCTCGAGTGATTGGAGTCCTTCTTTCTCTGACTGTCTCCTCACTTTCGTATCTGGACAAGAGGTCTCTGATGTAGGACTCCTGTGTGATGAACCAGCGACTCCCACTTTCATTCTGTAACTTCACCACCTCCATGCCCAAAAACCTCACTGCAGTTTCACCAATCCATTCTGGCTCTGATGTGGTCCACGTTGACCGAAGTGCCTCGATCAGTGACGACACCACTGCGTCTTCACCAACGACACAGATGTCATCCACATAGGTCATCACCAACCCGAGCACCTTGTGATTTGACAGGGATGCCTCTCTCATATCGTCCTCCCCCTCGATTGGGATCACCTTCCATAGATTCGGCTCTGACTCCAGCTGAACCAAGCAGACTTCAACTTCACTTTCTCCTCTCTGAACTTTGATCTGCAAACCTCTCATGACTTTGTCTCTGTGGTTTCCCCACAGACGAGGCGATCGGCGGAATCCATACACCGCCTTCAGTGGCTTGTAGACTGTGTTTCTGGGCAGATATCCTTTTTCTGTCATGATTGAAGGGGGCAAAATCAGGAGGTCATTCTCATCTTCAGTGACCTCCATTTCGGCGTTCAAAAACGCGGTTTTGATGTCGATGATGCAGCCCACCCAATCAAACTTTGAGGCTACCCACACCAGAACTCTGAAGGCAGTGGCGTCTGCTCCCCCTGAATATGTCTCCTCATTTTCTCTCTTTTCTTCAAAGTTTCCGCAGACAACCCATCTCGCCTTTCGTTTTCCGCCACCTGGTGACGGCTTCAAGGTGAATACCACTTTTGAAGGCAGGTACTCAACTTTCCTGCCTCTTTTTTCTGCTTCTACCTTCATCTTTTCATGCTCTTCCTTTGTGAGCTGACGAAGTGCTTCTTTCTCCTCCGTCAGCGATTTCACCTCGCTGTCTATCGCCTCAAGCCACTCGCTCCAACAGCGAGCAACTTCCTTCGGTGAGACGATCTTGGTCTGAAGTACTTCTTCAGTCGCATCATCTCCAGTTGCCATCTTTTTCAGGCTTCCAATGATGCGCATCATGTCGGCCGCGATCTGTGGCTCTTCTTCTACAATCAACCTCATTTCTTCTTCTATGACCTGATGGATCCTCTGCACCTCCTCCTTTCTCTTGTCTTCGGCCTCATCTTCCTTCTCTTCTCGAAGAGACCGATGCAGCTTTCTTACTGCTGTCTTTCCTCTCAATCTTCTCCTCACGCTCCAAGCGTCGGGAATAGTCTTTTCCAGGGCAACCCACACTGAGTTGTCCACTGGCTCTGTCGTTTGCTGCATGACATACTTTGTAACTCGTGGTGGCTCTCCTGGCTTTTGTACCCAATGTCCATGGTCTTCAATTGACGGACAGAGATAGTGGACACGCTCCACCACTGGCTCGAAGGCACCTCTCCTCCAGGTGCGCTTTCGAACTCGCACTTCTTGATGAAACCTCGGCCAGTCAGGCGTGGTTCCTCGGCGCACACACCTGTTGATTTCATCCACGTACCTCAACGCCCATGGCCAGTGAGATGAGTCCAGCTCTGCCTGTCTCAACGTCCTTCTCACTTGGGCTTTTATGGCTTTTACAGCCACCTCTGCTCTTCCATTCCCTTGCGGGTCGTCTCCAGCCGTCTTTGTGACGTAAATGCCACGGCTTCTGGCCCATCTTCCGAAGGCACCCTCAAACTCGTGCCCCCGGTCGCAGTGTATGCGGCCAATGTGGTAGCCGTCAGCTCTCAAGCGCAAGACGAACTCCATCGCCGTCGCGCTCACCTCCCTTGCTGTCTTTGTCACCATTGGGAGTGCCATTCTGTACACTCTCAGCTCTGTTTCCTCCTCCAACTTCCCTGGTTCTTCCTCCTCCTCGGGCGGGGCCGGGAGGCGGACTGGCTCTCCTCTAGCCAACCCCTGCTCACCGGCCTCTTCGCCCTGCGGTGGGGCAGGGAGGCGGACTGGCTCTCCTCTAGCCAACCCCTGCTCACCCGCCTCTTCACCGCGGCCTGCTGTGAGGCGGACTAGCTCTCCTCCAGCCAACCCCTGCTCACCAGCGGCCAATGGCGGTAGTTCGCCAATATCTTCTTCATCAAAGCCTTCTCCTGCTTCTTCTTCATCGCCTTCCTCTATCTTCGGTTCATCACCCTCTAAAGGCTCGTGCGGTGGTTGCTTCAGCTTCTCAAATCCTCGGGGAACTCTCCATGTCAAAGCTCCAACCAGGAAGTACCGAGCCTTTCCGCCACCTTGGTCATACGCTGGAATCAACGGTCCAGCGGTGTCAATGGACAGCACCCCAGCTGCCACATGCTTTGCCTTTCGATGTGGGGCACACTGTTGCATAGTTTCTTGACATACCCTACAATCTCTTCGATACGGCACATGACCCATCGCCAAGTGTTCCTGCCATGACAATGGTTTCAGCTTCGGCTTGGCCTTATACACCTGCCTCATCAGCGCTTCTGCAAGCATTCTCATCACAGCAGGCGGCCATCTTGACAGTTCCTTCGAGTCGTTGATCCGGGCTTGATGCTTGGGTGCTTTGATCTTGTAATCCTCTGGGTGTAAGTCAAGCGACCCACCAAAAGTTGTTGGCTTGGCGGTCTTTCCACCCAGATGTCCTTGCTGAAAAGTGCACTCCTTCAGGTTGAACTCCTCTTTCAACTGCTTCCACTCCGTTGTGTCCCAAAAGCTGACCACCTCTGGCTTGTACTGTTTGGGACTTGCAGGTTGCTCCAGACTGAGCACTGGGTCCATGCTTTCTCCTCTCGCCCTGGCAGCATAAACGGCCACCACGTAGAGAAAGATAGTCCTCCACAGCAGCAGGTCATCTTCTCGTACCTGCTTCTTCTCCTCTTCAGTCAAACCTTCTGCACCAAACTCTCCACCTCCCCAACTTCGAACTGGTCGCGGAGCTTGTGGATTCCCCTCTATAGGGTAGTGTCTCAGAACACTTCGTGTCCTGCAGTTGGGGCCAGCTACTATGCCCTTTATTTTTCCTTCCAAAGCGGCTCTAAGAAGGGAACCATATGGAGTCGTTGCCAGCATGTCTTGACCTTCTCCTCTCACCTGATCTACCTCTAAGATCTGCCAATCCTGTCCTCCAGCTTGTTGCCAGCCTCTCTTCAAGGTGTGACCTTCTTCAGAGCCCGCAAAAAGATGAAGAACAAAGCCATCTCTTTTCATTCGCTTTCTCGTTCTTTTGTTCGCTGGCAGCTGTCCCCACTCTCCCACTTCACATGGAAGCCCTTGTTTGATCCAAGGAGGCAATGACCTCAGCACCAACGACTTCATCCACTGAAATTCTCTTTGAAAATCCTCAGCTTTCTCTCCGATGCCCATCTTCTGATTTTCTAGTTCTTCGATGAGCTGCAAGGCCAATTGCCTTGGAACCTGTGGGCAGCCATTGTCGTAGGTGATGGGAAGCCGTCCACGGAAAGGGTGAACCACAATCAACTCACCTTCTTTCCACGTCGCCTCACATTTCAATTTCTCCATCAAAGCTCCCATCGGCACAATTGGTTCGACTGAGGGGTCTTCACTGACCATGGTCCCTCCAGGTGTGATGGGAATCTGAACCCGGTTTCCATCAGCTAGCGCCACATCTACTTTCCGATATCCTTGAACATCTTCTCCTTGTTTTCGAGGCCTCAAGCAGTGAGATGCCCCGCTGTCCAGAAGACCCTGTTGTGTCCCTTGATTCATCCTCCGAAGCCTCAAAGTCTTCATTCGAAGAGAGTTCAACTGTTGCTGTAACTTCTCAACCACCTCAGCTCTGGACTCCTCTTGACTCGTTGGAGACACGGTTGAAGAAGCCTGTGACCCTGTTCCTGTAGACAAAGACCTCAGCATCTTGTTCGCCTCTTCCAGCAAGTTTTTCATGGAAACGTCCTGAGAAGAGCTGGACGCCGCTTCGCTGTCTTTCGCTGACGACGACTTCTCCTCTTCTCCTTTCGCTGTCTTTTGTCTCACAGGGCTAGCATCACTGCTGGCTCCTCCTCTTGACCTCGTGCATGTTGACGACAAGTGCTGAGTCGAACCACAGGTGTAGCAACGCCTCTTCTCATCTCGCACATCATGTGACCAGCTGCACTCCTTACCTTTTCGGCAGCCTCCTTCTGAAAGATAAAACTTGCAAGCCGGTCTTCCCTTTTCTTCTTCTCCTATCTTTTCTTTCCCTTTACCTTTTCCTTTGTCCTGTTTGTCCTGTTTGTCCATGTCGAGGGACTTCAACTTGGGAGCATCCTGTCTTGAACCCTGTCCTCCAGTGCGCTTCTCAGTCAACGCAACTTGCTCTATTTCCGCCAAGAGATGTGTGGCAAATCTGCTGACAGACAACTCAGTAGGAGTCGTATCGACTCCAAGGCTCGACCTCGCAAGTTGAATCCTGAATTGTAGATCACGGTTGCTATCGAGAACCCGCTTGGTGAGTCTGTTCAAGCCTTTGAGCAGGAGGGCAGCATCCGGAATCACTGCACCTATTTCAGCAGTTCTGGCCTTCCATCGCATCCACTTTCTCAGCGCAGCCGGTGCATCCCCTATGTTCGCCACCTCTGGCGGTTCTTCAAGATTTCTGAGAAGCATAGTCTTTTCCATGACACCACCAGGGCAGTATGTAAGAAAAAGGTGTGTGAGGATTGAGAAAACTCCCATCTTTCTGCCAGCAACCAACTCATCACGTACTGATTCTGGCACAGCATGGAGAAGCATAGTTGACATCCTTCGCTCCAGACGTTGCCAGCGCTCTTGTTGAAGTCCAGGAGGCGGAGTGGCATTGTGAACAATCCGATCCAACGGATTGAGCGCCATGTGCGCCTGATACCATACCTCTACTGATTTTGTCATCTCGCGCCACCACTCCTCACTTGTTGCAGACATATCGGCGGCGACAGGCTCCACCATCAGCAGCCAGTCTCCCAGTTGAAGTGGGCCTTGTGACGCATTGCAAGGCTGAAGTGGCGGCAATTCCAAGATGCCTGTTCGCACCACCTCTACGCCCTTCACCATGCCGGCATCGTCTCTCCCCTCACTGACCTTCTTTTGCATCTCTTTCATTGACTCTACCATGATGGCCATGAACTCCAGCGACTTCTCGGTCAGACCAGATCCTGACCCACGGTCCTCAACTGGAGACTCTTTCGTTCCTTCTGTCTTTCGCTCTTGACTTCTTTGGGGGTCTACAGCCTCCTTACTCCTCCATGGAAACAAGTCTCTTTCGCTCATGCGTCCTTCAGCAGCTTCTGACCAAATCTTCTGGGGGTCTGCAGCCTCCTTGTCTTTCATCGACTTTCTCTGGACCTGACCTTGAGGGTCTACAGCATCCTTCAGGGGGTCTGCAGCCTCCTCGGGGGTTGAGAACTTCGAATCTCCTCCTTCTGATGGCTTCTTCAACTCGTTCAGGGCATCTCTCAGCTTTTGGTTCTCTACGGCAAGCTTGTCTAGATACCCTCTCAACTCATCCCTTTCTCTTTGATCTTTTTGCTGCTGTTCTCTCAACTGTTCCAACATTTGATCTTTTTCGAACATTTCCCTACCGATCCTATCCTCTTCAAGACTCAGAAAGGCAGGTCTCTGAACACTAGGTGTGAATGCAGAGTGAGGTTGGCCATACAACCATGGTGCTTGACTGTGGATGAAAGCCATGTGTTGCAACTGCTCAGGGGTGAAAAGAGGTGGAAACGCCGAGCTTTCTGCTCTCCTATCTGTTCCCTTCCCATCCCCTGTTGGAGACGCTCTCGCCTGGCTCTTCTTGTTCTCGAATGCCTCAGGACCCAAGTTACTACCGGTCTCCTTCTTGGAAGACATGGTAGCCTTCTCACTTCCTTTGTCTTGTTGGTCCTGCGGCTTTGGAGTCCTAAGTCCAGGCGACGCAAATTCCTCAGGTGCAAACTTTGGTGGCTCTGCTGGTGGCAAGGTTGGTGGCCTTCTCATTTCTGTTCCAGGGGCAGCGCTAGACGTATTGTCAGGACTAGAGTTTCCTTTGGAATCTTCTCTAACCCCATCAGCTATTGGAGGAGCACTCACCTCACCTGAAACCTCCTTGTGGCTACCTTCCTTGCTATCCTCTAACGGCTTTTCGCCTCTCTCTTCTGCTTCTTTCTGCATACGTTTCTCTGCCAGTCTCATCTCTGCTTCTCCCTGTGCTATTTCCTCTTGAGTAGCTCTACGTCTCATCATCATGTGTTTTCGGTCAGAGCTTTGGGCTCATAACCTGCTGATATCACAGTCAGGTTTGAGCTTCTAGACCAGAACTTGTTACACTTCTCGTTTTGTGCAAGCCCAGTCTCTCCTCCCAAACCGCGTCCTCTCCGTTTCTCCAAGGCACAAATGTCTTGAGATTTCAAAAGGGGCAGCTTCACGCATGCCAAGGATGAATTTGGATATGTGAAATGTCAATGCAACTGACATGTATGTGCAAAAAGACAGGGGAAAACAGCATTCATATCCCATAGGATCCATGGTGCTGCTATATATGCTAACATTTGGGGTATATTGATGGTAAATGTTACCATATATAGCATACATGGATCCTATGGGATAGACATAGTAGACTTCGATCTCATAACAACTTTACTTCTTTCGCGGAAACTCCGCAGAAGAGATATCAACTCACGCACCAGTCGCGGAAACCGAAACTCTGCTCCCGGAAGCACGGCCGAAGAAAGCGCTGAAGAATGCTGAAGATAGTTGAAGATACCTAGGATTAGAAGAGGAAGAGATTGGCACAAGACAGCACGGCCGATGCATCAAATTGGCACCTTCGATCTCGGGTTTTGATGGTTTTCACAGGACTCCGAAGGCTCCAAAGCTTCATCGACGGATCGCTTTTCCTACGCGGAGGTCAGGTTTTTTGCGGCATTTATGGAGGATTCCTAAACGATGGGTACCTCAAAGAAGTGGGTTTTCCCATTGAGAATCACCCATAATGGATGATTTTGTCCCAAATTTTTGGACCTCCCCATATATCATCAAACCATGGATCTATGTTATTTTGGCTATCGTAATTTTATGGACTGATATTGACCGGTTGGAAGGTTTGGTAGTCGCCTAGGCTCTGATGTCAAATGCTGTCAACCCCACAAAATTCAGGTTTGGCCCCGGGCGCAGTTCCAAAATCCTCAGAAAATGATGATATAAGTTTCTACATCTATCGCAGTTTTTATGCCCTGGCGATAATGCTAGATAGTAGAAAGTAAGAGTGATCAGCATATTCTCATATATTCTCAATGGATTGGATTAAGGGGAAATTTACAGGAAAGCCCCTAATGATCTTCATGGGAAAACATCGATGGTTTCCGGTGAAGATTTTCCCAACAACCAATCCATTGATATTCGTTTTCTATTCAATTTTCTGCAATCAATACCCTCTGGTAAACTTACATAGCTATGGAAAATCACCATTTTGAATGGGAAAATCCACTATAAATCACCATTTTCAATAGCAAACTGTTAAATTACCAGAGGATAACCAATGCAATTGGTCTCTCAGATGCAGCTCATCCATTTTCATCCAGACTCTGCCCTGGTGGCGTCGACGCGCCAGGGTGACTGCAACGAGGTTGCGCAGGAACTGTTGAAGTTATGTGTTGCCAAAGCTCCAAGTGTCAAGGTGGGATCCAGAGCTTCCAAAAATGACGGGTTTTGTTGTAGGCTGCTATGTCTTTCATGCAGTAAATTATAATTTTATAGCTTCATTTAGCCTGAAGTGTATCCAAAACAAGTGATGAACTCCAAGGGGTTTGAAGCGACTGTGCTAGTGGAATTCAGAGTTGATATGAATTGTTTAGATGCAGCCGCAGCGTGAGATCTCGTCGATGTTGGTCATTGTTCATCAAAACATGTCTATCATGTTTGAATTTAAGATGTTAACTGTTAAAGATTCTGTTCACATTTCTAAACTACAGATAGATTGATAGTCGTTGCATCTTTTTGCTATTGCATTAATATACGTGTGTATATATATATATATACCCATAGGATCCATGTATGCTATATATGGTAACATGGATCCCATCAATATACCCCAGTCATGTTAGCATATATACCAGCACCATGGATCCTATATGGGATATATTTAACACTATATAACATACATTATTGCATGTTATTGCATTATAAATTATAATATATGGCGCATTTCCGGCGCAGCTCCGTTTCTTTCGGGGGAGGTGGCCAATGGCGTTCTGTCTGTGGCTTTAGTCGAAAAGGTGGAAGGCGAAGCTTCGACGTTCCAGGCGTGGTGCCCGGAATGTGCCGAGAGTGCCGAGACAATCGTGGAAGATCATGGAAGTAAACAATAATAATAGTATATTACCCAGATGCTGTATGGAATATTTACCTACATTTGGGCCATTTTTTCTACTTATCCATTACCCATAGGATCCATGGTGCTGCTATATATGCTAACATTTGGGGTATATTGATGGTAAATGTTACCATATATAGCATACATGGATCCTATGGGTAATAATATATCTATAGTATATTATAAATTACAGAGCTAAAATTTGGGCTAGCGGCTAGAGCCGCAAAAGAATTGTCAGCTTTCCAATTTTTAGGGCCTAACTTCCTTCTCATTTGTTGCCCTTATAGGGTTTTATAACATGGCAATAACAATAAAAATAATAGATGATAATAGATATATACTAATAGCAAACACTAAACAATAATATACATAATTGTAACATACTATAACAACAATAGTAAACATCTATAACAATGTAAACATCTACCAGAGGAGCTACATCACCAACTAAATTAAATAGATGTGTCGTTTTGGAAGACATGCCAGGACGCAGCGCTGAACAGGCAGGCCATGTATATATCAATCACAGTCTCACCAAAATCTCAGCACAAACGGCCCGTATCCACAGCATCCACACGAACACAGTGCACAAAAACTGTTACGTACACATCGTCGATGATCGTCGCTTTTCCAAGCTACGAAAACAGGTCATTCCACACTTCCGCATACACACGAAGAAACACAGTTCTTCCTGCAAGAGAGTTGCATTGCGCACAAGTTGCGTGATGTAGTGAGTTGATTCGTAGGGTGATTCGTGTGGAATTCGGATGGCTACTCGCGCGAGTAGTTCGTCAAGCGATGACTTGATTTGTGTTTGTTTCCTATTGGCGTGACGGTACGGAACCAAGAAGCACTGTGGGTGAAACAATAAACATTCATAAACCATCCCCCAATTTCACCATAAATAGGTGGTATAAACTATTCCTAAATGGTTGGTTGATTATTGTTTTACCATGTTTTACCCCCAATTACAAAAGGTGGTTTTTAGCACTCTTCTCATCACAAAAGGCTTGTGGCAGATCGTCGAAGTTGTCACGTTTGGTGCCAAGCGGTGCCAAGGTACGCGGGCAAACGCGACATACCTGGGATATGAACTTCAAAGTGAGATGGACAGCAGCTTTAGATGGGCACAGCGGCATGTCCTATGATTTCCTCAACCATGTCAAGTAGTTGTTTCATGTTGTTCCTGTATTTTTTCTCTTTTTTTCACCATGTTTCACCCATGTGTCACCTTCCGAAACTCTGTTTGGAATGTGGATTTGCCACTTCGATCTGAAATTTCAGGACCTACCAATGGATGGGTTCCAACTTCGAGGAAGGGCCTCAACGTGCAGAGGGCCAAATGGCAGTGTGTGACTTCACCGATGCAACCACCCTGCGCAATGAGAAGAACCCTCCGTCCCCAGGCACCAATTTTTTCGGTGGTTTGCTGGTGGATTTGCTTCCATCCCAAAACTGCATGTATTTGAATATACCATCTGGTTATTGAACATAGCCATGGAAAATCACCATTTTTGATAGGTAAACCATCTATAAATGGGCCATTTTCCATGGCTAACTATGTTAAATAACCAGATGGTATTTAAATTTAAATATGAAAATCCATGATGCCAAGTGACCTTAACGACGTTTCTCCATCCAGTCATTGTTCAGTTTCCTGACCAGCTGGCCGTGGTCGTCTGTGGATATGGGCCGAGGATCCTCAGGAAGAACTGGGTCGACAAAGGGAAGCTAGTTGGCAAGCCCAGGGTGAGGCGGTATAGGAGCTGAACAAGCTACTCATGAGGAGACTGGAAGTTTGTGGTTCCAAACTATGTACTATCTGGTAATTTATAACATAGCTATTGAAAAATGGCCATTTGTATAGTTGATTTATCTATGAACAGTGGGGATTTTCCGTAGCTATGTTACTATGTTAGTTTACCAGAGGGTACTAAAAAATCATGATTTGCAATTCAATGGGAGTCTGTTACTTTCTCATATTGTGTAATGGAAAAAATGGTCAGTTTTGCTGGTTACATGCAAGTTCCACAGGCTGCTGACACCGAAAAGCCCGAAAAATCATTGACAAGCATCTATCCCATATGAGCAAGGGTCAAAAGACGCTATGAAAGGCTTCAATTACGATCCGCCATCACTACTCAGAATATGTGATTTACTGTGTGTAGCGATAGGGGGCCTTATGTAGCGATACCTCTTTTTAGACTTTGTTTATGATTGAAGCTTCCTGTTGGGCGCATGACTTTCCAATCTTTTGATGTCAGAGTGCGACACTGGAGCAGTCGCAGTGGGCTGGTCTTCCTGGGTAGTTGCAAGATGGCCTGTCGTCAAGTATATTTGAGATAGTTACATTAAACAATATTGATATATTGGGGTATGTTGATCTATAAGGTATGCAAGAAACTAATTCATAACGCATCATGAGCTTGATGATGGTGATGATGCTGATGATGATGGTGATGGTGATGATGTTGATTCAGATAGTGACCGTGCTGAGATATGTTGAAAAAGCATCCTTGTGCGGTCACGGACGCTTCTCCAAAGCCACTGTCCAGGAGTAGAATTGCAACATGGAGCTTGTCAGAATTTCGTGTCACTTGAAACATACACCTGAGATCACACATTTTCTGGTCCCCGTAGCGATGCCCGAAGCGATACCCCTCGATACCCAGAGCGATACCTGAAATCCATGAAATTAGGGAGTACCCCACATGGTCACTTGAAACTATACAACTTGTGCTATAGGTGGAAAAATATGGGAAGTATGAACAAGGGTACCCTCAAGTTCTTACTGGGTTAGTTCTTAAAGGGTTCATTTGGTCAGGGTTTTGCCGATTCATTTTGGCGTGGTATTAGGTTGCAAAGGAGGCGGGGTGAAGAAAAAAAGGCGCCGGAAACAAGGCAGCACAGGCAAGACAAGCCAAGACAAGCCAACACAAGCCAAGGGCAGCCTCCGAGGTCAGATGACCTGCAGTGAGTCCGGCTGGTGTCTAGCTGAAGCTGTCGACGTCAGCCTTGGTGATCAAGTAAAAGTTTGAATTTCCCTGGAGATACCATCGCAAGGGGAATAAGAATCCGATTCCTCATCTGGATCCTCCTCTTCTAGCAGCAATTCTGCCTAGTTGGTGAAAAGGGTGCTGGGACTGTGTGTAGCGATAGGGGGCCTTATGAAGCGATGCCATGACCTCACCACATGAATTGAGTTTTGACCGTCGCACATATATTGGGAATAATAATCCCAACTGACGAACTCATATTTTTCAGAGGGGTAGGTATACCACCAACCAGTCTATGAATGGCGGATTTGCCTGCCATGGTTTCCCGTTCTTTTCCCGTGCTTGTCTTAGGACCTTCCCAGACAGAAAGAGGTGGAGAAAGCTTTAGGAGGTGCAGCCGGCCTGAAGAGCAAAACAGGATAGACAGACTATATCAGCCTAAAAAGACAACAGCTAGTTCGTGTTTATGTGAGCATATCCCATAGGATCCATGTATGCTATATATGCTAACATGACTGGGGTATATTGATGGTAAATGTCACCATATATAGCATACATGGATCCTATGGGTATGTGCAAACAGCCTACGCCCGGGCATTGAAGAAAGACGTGTTTTTTTTAGATCTCTAATCCTTGGAGAAACCGGGACAAACGGAGGGAGCGGTTGGAGCGCTTGGAGGTTTTCCATATGACCAAATAGGAGCCATTGTTTTTTTGGAAAAATATAGAATACATAGTCATTAAACCATCAACAGTAGGGACTTAATATGGGTTAATGGTACTTAATATATCTTAATATGGACTTAATAGATCTATATATATCTGGTTGGTGGTTTCAAACATGAATTTTATTGTCCATTTCATATATATGGGATGTCATCCTTCCCATTGATGAACTCATATTTATCAAGATGGTTGTAACCACCAACCAGATATGATAGATTAACAGATTGACACATAGGTTGAGTAACTTATAGATGCAAAGATCTTGGGCATCTTGCAGATATGCTTGGAGAACATGGACAGAATGTGAATCCCTGGTTTCCGAGTGAGCAACGGGACAGAACTGATCAGGCATTTGCACAGGATGCGACATGTGAGGATTGGTTTATCGGTGCAGAACTTCATCATCAGCATTCTGAAACGTTTCCACAAACATGAAAAGAAACCTGAGATATTTTGGTGATGCCGCTCTATTGATTGGCAATGCGAACCCCAGACAAATAAGCCCCTATAGATTGGGATGTTTCCCCAACATAGCGATACTGTAAATTGCTAGTAAAGTTGGTACACCCTATTCATACAAAAGGGGGTTGATTAATCCGGCATTGACATGTACAAGGCAAGTTTTTCAATATTTGGTTGGAGCCCTCCATTTTTTGCTCATACAATATCTAATATGTTGCTGTAAAAAAATGCTGCCTCAGCACTCCATTTTTCCAGGAAATTGTTCACATTAAAATGTCTTTTTCTGGTGCCAATTTTCTGCAACGTTCAAGTGTAGATATCCCAGTGCGTCCGTCAACACTCGTTGGGGGAAAGCTTTTTCACTGGATATCGCAGGTAAGCCCTGGCCAGCAGTTGATGGTACCTTGCTGGCCAGCGTGGTGTCTTGCCTCGAGGTCAGACTTGGTGAAATTTCTTGACATCGCTGGAGTTTTGTCATTGTGGTTCTGTACCTGGGTCCGATGGTAACCCTGGTTTCCACCCCGTTTTCATCTTTTCTTGGAAGTTTATCTTCGTCCGGTTCCTGGAAGGTATCGTCTTTACATGTCTAGACACGTTTTACGGATCGCCGCCGAAGTACATCTCATGTGAAGCGGCAGGTCTTTACCGATGAGCTTCCAAAGAGGACTCAACATGCTGTTCAACAAAAGAAGGAGATGCGTCAGAGTCCAAGCATCGTGCCTATTCATTGATCTACCCTCTGGTAATTTAACATAGCTATGGAAAATCACCATTTTTAATGGGAAAATCCACTATTAATGGTTATTTTCCATAGTTATGTTAGTTTACCAGAGGGTACCCGCCTCTGCTGTGGCCAAGGCGTATGTTGTGAGTGGTTTGATCATTGCAATTGGAGCGATTGCTGCAGTGTCAGCTAGAGTGGTTTGATGTTGGTGTCTAGTGTATGTGCACATGTATATATATATATAATTTATATATATAGATATACGGATTATATGCATATAGTTTTTATAGTTAGTATACACACCGTTGAATATCAATGCAACCCAAAAAAATATCGTTCATAAATCTTCTCCTTGCTTAGCTAAGGTGAAGCTGCTGCCCAAGCAGAGGCGCCAGACTCCAGGGACACCCGGTCTGAGTGCCTTGTTTTTAGGGCATGAGTTTCAAGGGTACTCATGGGTACCACCGGGTACCACCGGTGGCACCAGTTGAAGTCAAAAGATGATGCCACAGATTAGTTTGAGAGGCTTAAGGGCACCTCATGGCACCTCTATTTCTTGTGGGGATCCTAAATGTCCAACATCTCGGAAGCTACGGAGCACAGCCCATTCCGTTGCTGGACAAGAGTTGAAGATGAAACTGGATCAAACTTTTTTTTTGGATTGGCACGATAGTATTGACAATCAAATTTGATATGATGATAGTGGCAATCATCATGAACACAAACACCCACGTGGTTGTTCGTTGCTAAACCATTATACACTATCATTGGGTACGTAACAAGTTGGATGCTTCAGATCGGGATCATGTTTTCGTGCTGTGAGTGATTTGAATGTGTTTGAACTTCAGCTGAATTTTCACTGCAGAGAATTTGCAGGTCATCCATGAGACGAAAATGATTGAAATCGCACACTTTTGAAAGACATGTCTGACACACTCGAGGAACAAGTCATGGGCCAGAAATCCAAAGAGCCGGAAGCAAATTGTTGTTTCCGAAATAGTGTTCCCAAATCATTGTAGATTTCTTGTGTCATGAAACACCACTGGACACCATGTGAACAATTGACCAAAGGGACATTGCATTTCATTTTGCTTTTGCCGCCTGACTGGTGGCTCAAGGACGCATGCTGCGCCATAGACAAAAAGGCCGAAGGTTCAGGGTAGTGTGCCCACTTGTCACTTCAGTTGGTAACCGGAGCCATGGCTAGTGGTTCGGGGCCACATCCTGACCATGGCCGTGGCGAAGGCGATGGCGATGCTCCTGAACCTGAGGACCAGCCGCGAGCCGGTCGAGCTTGGTATGGGGCTGGGCGAAGTGCAGCTGAGGGCGATGGAAGCGCTACTGCGTCTGGTGAGCATGGACCGCAGAATGGGGTCGCGGGGCATCAGCACCAGACCAGTGGCGCAGAGGCAGGAGATCCTCTACAAGTTCAAGACCCTTGGGTGCCAGCAGGGCGCTCAACAGCTGCACGGGACTCAGGTCTAGTTAGAGAAGAAGCCGCGACTTGGCAGACTAGGTCGTGGGACAACACGTGGAACCATGACCAATGGGGGGCGCATGACTGGTCAGCTGGTGGTTGGAGAGGTTCCGATTGGCAATGGGATCAATGGGGTAGTTCTTTCAACACCAAGCCTGACATGCTAGACCCTCCCACTTGGCCAGGGTGGAGTCACCGGCGCCTGTGGATACAGGCCATCCGTAGGTGGAACAAGCAGACAGACATCCCCTTGCACAGGAGAGCTGACCGCGTTCTCAGGTCTCTTGGCTGGGATCTGCAGAGCGACTTTGAGCACTTGGATGATGAGGTGCTCTCCTCTACCCTCTACTTGGAGGCCATCATTGAGGTGATGAACGCCAAAGCTGGGGTTCGTGAGGACGATGAGAAGCGCCGAGCATATCGGCAAGCCATCTCTGAGAATCAGAGACTTCGTGAGGAGTCCTTGGCACAGTACGCAATTCGCAGACAGAAGGACTTCAGGAACGCGGCCAACTATGGGGTGGTCATCCCGAACTCTCTGAAGGCGATGTTGCTGAAGGAAGGTGCGGGGTTGTCCGACCAGAATCAGCAGAATCTCACGGCTCTGCTTCAAGGCAATGATGAGGACCCAGACTTAGTTGCCAGGTGTCTCAGCCGCATGGATGTGCGTTCAGATCGACTGAGCGCTTACGTAGATGATGCTGCTCGGGAACCATCCTACTTGGCTGACACCGATGCCACCAGTGAGGATGACGACGTTTTTGAGAATGAGGAGGTCCTGCAAGAGCTGGACAAGATGGAGTTGAACGAGGACCAGATTTGTGAGGTTTTCGCCGTCTTGGAGCGCAAGAGATCATGGAAGGAGAACAAGCTCTTCAAAGCGGACATTCGAAAAGACCGAGGCAGCTTCATCAAGGATGGCACCAATGGCTATCCCCGTGGTCAAGCTGGAGGGCCCCCTGCTGGAGGCGTAGCTGGCAGAAATCCTTCCCGCCAGGGGTTCAATCGTGATCAGTTGAAGAAGATCTCCAGGTGTCGTCTTTGCCAGAAGAAAGGACACTGGGCGGCTGAATGTCCGTCCAAGAAGGGCGCTGGTGGAGCTACAGCTTTTGCCTACTGCAGTGCCAGCGCTGATGTGTCGAGATCAGCTTTTACTTTCTTGTCAGTGATGGAGGTCCGACAAGCTATCCATCAAGTCCTTTACGGAGATGATCAGCATGGCGACGGAGGTTGGGCCTTTCTGACCTTGGATGGGGGTGAGGCTGTCCTGGACATCGGTGCCACTCAGGATCTCATAGGGCTGTCTGCCCTTGAAGATCTGACCAAGGAGCTCAAGAAGGTGGGATTGCAGCCTGTGAGAATTGACAAGCCCGTCACCACACCGACAGGCATTGGTGGGTCGGCTCGGGCGCTCTATGCGGTGCTGCTCCCAATTTCACCGGGCGGCATTCCGGGAATTCTGGAGATGACAGTCTTGGAAGGAAATGTGCCGCCTTTGCTGTCTGTAGGGTTCCTAGACTTTCTCAAGGCGTCCATCGACCTTTCCGAGGACAAGCTGGTGCTGCGAACTTTGAACCTGGAGTTGCCCATGAACAAGATCTCAACTGGTCACCGCACTATCTCCTTGGTCAAGTGGAAGGGTGGTGATTTTCCCATTCCGGATGACGTGCAGGATAAGTACGGCTTGCCAGAACGTGCTTTCAACATTTCAGCTTCAGCCTTTTGTGCGTATCCAAAAAGTGCTGCTGCCGAGTTTGTCCGTCCACAACATGAAGAACCAATTCAGGGAAGTATTTCAAAGTTTTCCTTTTCACATGAGCCCAACATTTTCAGTGATTTTCATACTCCGCAAGCGATCAACTTTGTGACGGACAGAGCAGATTCAGCGAAATGTTGCTCAGCGGTGCAAACTCATCCAGTATTTCAAGGTGTAGAATCAGTTGAGAAACCATTTCAAGGTGATAGAGGTGTAGCACAGTTGACCCAATCTTTTGAGAGATCAGAGTTGCGGCATGATCAAATTTGTCATGGAGAACACTCACAAACCAGATCTTTGGCATGTTCACAAACCAGATCTTTGGCATGTGAGCAGTGCGATGATGTATATCAAGAACCAGAGCTGCGCTGCTCAAGCAATTCGATGGGCAGTTCACTCTGTCCTCACAGATCAGCCTCCAGCGCCACTGATGGAGAGCACTCGCGACTCTCGCGCTGCGCGCGGATGGCATCAACTGCTGAGCGCCGTGAGCGCACAGCTGGAGACCAACCGGGTGGCCTACAAGAACTTGGCTCGTGCAGAGCTTCGGACCAAGTTTGCTCCTGGGATGAAGCTGCTGATGCACGAGGGACACACGGTGGGAGGGTGCCTTCATCCTTCCGATGCCTTGATCAACCGGTCCAACCAATATGCAAGATGGACAGTGTGCCCGAAATGCCAGGCCAGAGTGTGGTACCAGTCCCTGCGTCGGGGAAGGAGCTCAGCTCAGGGCTCGGTTCAGAGCGCTGCAACGACACCACCAATCGAGCCCATGTACCTCACTCCGAAGGCACCACCTGTGGCTCCTGGCCGAACGGCCGCGACACTGACGGCCCTGAATCCCACAGAGGAGACTCACCAAGTCTTGGAGGCTGCGATGTTGAGCTTCCAGAATCAGGGAGCACAGATGAGCATGGCAATGCAACAGGTCGGCCAGTCCCTGGAGGAGCTGGCGCGTGGGCAGGCTCAGATGTTGAACATGATGCAGCCAAACCTGACACCGGCTCCGAAGCCGGCAGCCACTCCGACATCGTCCCTGCACGAGAGCTTTCACCTGGATGCACCAGAGGCGGTGGCATGGTCGGATGTGGAGTTGGAAGGGTCCAGTCCGGGCTCACTGTTCAACCCGAACGAGATGATGCCCAACTACGACAACAACAACCACGACCCTGGCCGACATGGATGGTAAGGACTGGGACGATTGCCACAGCTGCCTTGCTCACCTGGCACCAATGCTCACCTGACTTTCAAGATCAACTCCATGGTTTGGGGTTTGAGCGCGAGGAATGCTACATCTTCAAGTATGACCTTGGCGTGGATCATCCAGTATGCCCTGACTATAAGGTTGTTCCTGGTGTGAACGATCAACGACATTCCACAGAATGCCCTGGTCTTGAAGTATGTCCTGACTATGAAGTCGTTCCTGGTGCGGACGATCGACAGCGCTCCCAAGTATGTCCAGGTGATAAAGTATGCCCAGGTGATGCAGTACACCCAGGTGCTACTGAATGTGATCAACAGCTGATGAGCTCAAGGGGAACACAACCTGTGGACCCGACATCAAGGCCCACTTGGGTTCCTCCCTTTGCTCAACATCGACACCAGCGCCTGGCCAACTGCACCTCTTTGGAATCCGAGGCACTGGGCGACCCCAACTGGTGTACAATCTGGAGACGTGTCGTCACAGAGATGGGAGACATCATAGAAGACAGCCCTGGACCCCATGCAGCGTTGGATTTTGCAACACCCCTGGATTTATGGGTGAGCTGCTGGGGCCTGCCCATGGACTTTGTACGGCTTGCCAACTTCTCAACTCAGGAGGTTCTGCCCCTACGTTTGGACTCTGAGGGTCAGGTCTCCGAGAAGGGCATGTACTGGGCAGTTCACTCAGATCTGTTGAGTGAAGAGGTCATTGGATTTTGGACCGAAGCTTCACATGATGTCTCTTCCAAGGGCGAGATCCATCGATGTGCCCAGAACCTCTGCTTCCTTGCCAAGAGCACCAACAATGGGGGCAATCGGCGACTGGACTTTGCCGAGCTGTTCTCACCGCCTCGAGTGTCTCCTTTGGCACAACAGATGGGTCTGAAGGTGGACGCAAGCGCAGTGTTTGACCTGACGGCTGGGTGGGATGTTCGAAACAAAGAACATCGGCGACGTTTTCGCACATTTCAGAATGAGAGACGTCCCAAGACATTGATGGCCTCACCGGAGTGCAAGGCTTTCTCTCCACTGCAGAATATCAACAAGGAGAGGATGGACCCAGAATACCTTCGCAAGATCCTGACTGAGGGCCAGTTGATGTGGAACTACAGTCTGGAAGCTGTGAACACCCAGACCGTCAATGATGACTATTTTGGACTAGAACATCCAGAGAGGGCTTCATCTTGGAAATTGCCACAAACACAACGTCTCCTACGCAGGCCTGACGTTGCAGTCATCATCTTCGATCAATATGCTCTTGGTCTCACGGTAGCTCCAGATGGCATGCTCTCACGGAAGACCACCAGGATTGCCACCAACAACCCATGGCTAGCGAAGAGACTGCTACAGGCCCAATGCGTTGGAGGGCACCCTCATCGACAGCTCATTGGTGGTCTCCCAGCACTAGCTCAAGAATATCCACCAGCTTTATGCCGGTGCATTGCAGAGAGCGCTCGTGACGCAGCCCTGGGACTATCTCCTCCCTCCTTTGTGACAGAGCCCATGGTCTCAGGTGAGCCGTCATGGAATTTTCCAACACTTGCTGAAGGAGAAGAAGAAGAAGAAGAGAATGAGCCAGCGGTGGCTGAACCAGTCACCGGTGGAAACATCCCGGTGGTGACCGAGGCACAGAAACGATTGGTGCGTCGGGTTCACATCAACACGGGTCATCCTCCTCGCGACCGTCTCCTCCGAGCCCTACGAGCTGCAGGAGCCCTACCACAGGTCTTGCATTATGTCCAACATGACTTTGACTGCGAGATCTGTCAGTCGAGAAGCGGACCTGATGTCCGGCGTAAGGCTCAACTTCCCAAGACTTTCTCCTTCAACAAGGTTCTTTGCGTGGACTTTTTCTATGTGAAATGGCGAGAACATCAAATCGCAGTTCTCAACATGGTGGACCTCGGAAGCGGATATCAAGTTGCCGTGCGGGCACCTGTCGCTGAGGGAACTCATGGTGGAACTCCAACATCAGAGATGGCATGGCGTCTCCTCTTGACGACATGGATTCGACACTATGGAGCTCCTCAACTCATCCTCTGTGACGCCGGCAACGAGTTCCGAGGCTTCTTTGAACGCAGTCTTGAGAACATGGGCATTTTCCAACATGTGATACACCCGGAGAGCCCCTGGGAGAACGGCAAGTGTGAGAGACATGGTGGATGGCTGAAGAGCAAAATCGACCGCGAGCTCACCAGCGGCCGAAGTGTGGTCCAAACCTTGGAAGACCTGGATGAGCTCCTGAGCTCTCTGACCACCACGAAGAACACCTGGCTCAACAAGGGAGGCTTCACCCCCTATCAACTGGTGTTCGGCTCATTGCCGAGAATTCCAGGTGAGCTGCTGGCTGATGATGAGTTGGCACAACATGGCTTGAGGGATGCCTTTGAGGATCCCATGGAAGTCGATGAAGCTGCAGGCGAGTACCGTCGTCGGCACCAGATTCGAGAACGAGCACGACAGCTGGCCATGCAGCAGGACTCCACCGATGCCATCAAGGCAGCCACCAAGGCCGCACCACACCAAGATCGGCCCTGGCATCGTGGTCCTGGTCAATAACAGCACGGTGTACGTTGGCATGAGATCAAGATTGTGGAGGTGCTCAGCGGAACAACTTCGACCAGCCCTTTCCAGCGAGATTTTGGGGAAGGATCTGGCCTCAGATCCTGCATTGAGCACTCTCCTGAGACAAGTCATCTCGGGACAACGAGCTGGAGCAGTAGATGTTGCACGAGAAGGACCACCACCTGGAGGTTCTGGATGTGAGCCAGTTGAGCGGCAGATCAACCGCTACATGGTCCTCTTAGGCCACATGACCACCTTCCTCAACAAGCTCCGCAGGAAGTCCTGCCTGTTCCTCCTGGTCTTTCTCCACACGTTCCACTATCACCTCCAGCACCTGCGCAGAGCACACCATCTTCTAGAAGGTCATCGACCCGAGAACCAGCCAGTGAACCTGGGGCAGCCATCAGCCCAAACAATGCTCCACAAAGAGGTCAAGAACATGCAGAACCACAACTTCCTCCAATTCCAGAGCAAGACACTAGAGATGAACGTTCAGATGACGATGTATCATCTGGCGAGCCTCTCTCAAAAGCGCCAAGACTGACAAGTCCTCAGATGAGAAGTTCTGACTCAAGCTCATCAGCCATGCCGGCTCATGAAGATGCCACAACAACCAGGGCACCCGGAACTCCGATCCGTGGACTTTTGGATCGAGTTCTCCGAAGCCCGAGAAGAGAGAGAAGCCCGAGAAGAGATCCAACAACAGCACTGACACCAGCTGAGCACATCGACTCAACCAACCGAGTTGCTCAGCAGATCAGGGAGTTTGATCACCTGTCTCTTCCTCAAGATCCTTCAGATCAAGCTGCCACTGAGTCGGTCACGTTTTGGAATTTTCTATCTGGGCTTCCTCAGACCGACAAGAAGCGCAATGATGAGATCTCATTGAAAGAACTCAGTGCTGAAGAGAAAAAGTTGTTTGAGGAGTCCGACCGGCTAGAGTGGGAAGCCATCCTTCAGACTAAAGCCGTACATGTCATCTACGGCGAAGAGGCACAGAAGATCAGACAGCAGTTTTCAGATCGGATCGTCTCTTCACGCATGGTGAGGCGCAAGAAGCCACAACCTCTTCTACACAGCTGGAAGGCCAAGTCGAGATGGTGCTTGCATGGGCATACTGACCCTGACACTGGACTGCTGGTCACCTACGCTCCCACACCACAGACGGAAGGCATCATGCTCTTCCTGCAGACGGCAATCAACCATCAGATGACCATTGCTTTTGCTGATGTGAAGAATGCCTTCTGTCAGAGCAGGCCAATGAAGCGCCAGCGAGGACCAATCTTTGCCGAGCCTTGTCCAGGATTGCCACTACCGCCTGGGGCACTTATCTCTATTGATGTGCCAGTATATGGACTGGACGATGCTCCAGCTGAATGGCGAGCCACCGTCTCCGACTTCACCGTGAAGGACTTGAAGGCAGAGAGGAACGTGGTCGAACCATGCTGGTACAATGTAGACCCCCCCAGATATAACTTAAGTTGTAACAGGTTTAACATAAGTTATAAGTATGGTCAACTTATGTTATAAGTATTGTAACTCATGTTGAACTTATATCTTTTTTAGGGATTTAAAACATGACTTATAACTTTTTTGTGGGAAGATAGAAAAAAGTTATAAAAACAGTTAGCAAAGTTAACTTTTTCATTATGTTTTTTGCATCTATCAACAAGTAGATTTTTTGGGATGTATTCTGATATGATCGGTGATTTTGGTTCCAAAGCTGCCCTATCTTTTAGTTTTGCGTTCAGTGCTCCTTTTGGAGCCTTTTTGCGCTGTGGCAATGGCATTGAATTTGCAGGCTGCAGCGGAACCTGCAAGAGCTCAGATGCAGGAATGGGGAAGGTTCCCGATGTTTTTAACAGAAGAGCTCTGGAGGAGAAGCCATGCTGTAAAAGGAAAACGGGAAGTGGCTTGGGTCTGGGTCAGTTCCTCTGGGTCTGGATCTGGTTCTAAACCTTGAAAACGGGATGTTTTTTTTTGTGTTTTTCTGTGTTTTTTTGTGTCTCGCATTTAGGGAAATGAAAAAAACGCGCATGTGTTTTTTTACTGGAGAAAAAAAACGCGGATGTGTTTTTCGAATCGAAACCGAAAACGCGTATGTGTCTCGAATTTAAAATCAAAAACGCGTATGTGTTTTTGGACGGGAGAAAAAAACGCGGATGTGTTTTGGAGGTCGGATTAAAAAACGCGTATGTGTTTTTTTCAGATAAAGAAACAAAACCGTGTATGTTTTTTCCCACACGGTTATATGTGATTCTTGCTTGGTTACCAGTGTTGGCTGTGGAGTTTCTGGCTCTCAGTATAGCTGTTGTGCGTTGCGCTGTCTCTTCGGGCTATTGCATCTCTTCCGCCAAGTGAGACTGTGGAAGATAGCCAAATAGTTACCGCCTCCGAGGGCCGACGGGTTCGTACCTGCAGACATGCAACGTGAAAAAAATGCTATCAAAACCGGCTTCCGGACAATTCGCCTAGCAAAACAGTCAAATAATGAGCTCCTCACATCAATACCACAATGTGTATGGAAAAAACTTAACAAAGTTATAAAAAAGTTATAACTTAACTTATAAATCCTATAACTAAAGTTATGTTAACTTATTTATAACTTTCCCAACTCAATTTATAAATAACATAACTTAGTTATAACTAAAGAGTCTACATTGTACTCCATCTTTGAGCCCAAGACTCGCCGTCTTCTGGGTCAGATTTTGGTGGAGGTGGATGATTTCATCATTGCAGCTCTTCCAGAGCACTACGACAAGCTGCAGAAACAGATGCAAGATCGGTTTACCTTTGGTAAGTGGGAGGCCAACGAGGCCGAATTTGCGGGCAGACACATACGCTGCACGCCTGAGGCCATTTACATTGACCAGCACAAATACATTCAAGAACAAGTGCATCCCATCGCCTTGCCAAAGGGTCGAAGGCAACAAGCGAAGGAGCCAGTGAGCGATGATGAGTTCACGGCGCTCCGATCACTCATCTACCGCATCAACTGGGTTGGCAGAGAGACCCGTCCTGAAGCAGCTGGCCTAGCCTCAATCATGGCATCCAAGCTCAAGCACGCCAAAGTAGAAGACATCCTTTTGGTGAACAAGTTTGTCAACTACCTGCGATCTACGTCAGACCGGGCGATCAAGATCTGGGCCTTTGATCCCCGAGAAATGGCATTTGTCGTCTTCTCAGATGCAGGTGGGATCAACACCAAAGGGTCTGATTTGTTGGACGAAGAAGGTCTTCCAACAGACTCGACACAGGGTGCTTGGCTTGTTTTGGCGACTGAGAAGTTGCCACACGGCAGACAGAAGGTGAGAGCAACACCTCTGGCATGGAGGAGCAGCAAGTTGAAAAGAAAGGTTTTCTCCACCTACGGTGGTGAGACTCAATCCATGTTGCAGGGCGTTAGTGAGGTTGACTGGCTCCAAGTGATGTATCGAGATGCGACGGCACACGATGTAGCTCTCTCAAACTGGCGTTGCTCATTGTCCCCACACATGCTGGTTATGAAGGGAGACTGTGAACTTGGAGGGCGTCAACAACAATGCTCAGTGACTGACGCCAAATCGCTGTATGACTGTTTGCTGCGTGAGAACCCATCCGGTAAGAAGGATCGAAAGTCCGCATTAGAGCTAGCGATTGTCCTCAGGGATCTTCAAGAAACCAAATCCATGGTGCGCTGGGTTCCCCACCAAAAGATGTTGGTTGATGGTTTAACCAAAGAAGATCCACTGAAGGCAAGTGACGCGTTGCATCAGTTTCTCAAGTCCGGAGTCTTGAGCCTTGTAGATGTCACTTCAGAGCTGGAATGTAGGAAATCAGATCCACTTTACCGTAGGCGTAGCAATCAAGCCAGCCGTGAGAGGTTGCTGAGCGAGTACAGGGAGAACTATCTCCAATTTCTGACCCCTTTGGTCAACATTGTTTGGGGGGACTGTCATGAAACACCACTGGACACCATGTGAACAATTGACCAAAGGGACATTGCATTTCATTTTGCTTTTGCCGCCTGACTGGTGGCTCAAGGACGCATGCTGCGCCATAGACAAAAAGGCCGAAGGTTCAGGGTAGTGTGCCCACTTGTCACTTCATCTTGGGTCATCTTGGGTCCTGGGCCACTTCTCTGAAACTTTTGAAACCTGCACTCTGATGCCAGGCCTGAGAATGAGAGAGGTCTGTCACACGATTTTCTAGTTGCTGGTCTTCCGAAGCTGGTTGCCACCAATGATTAGAATATGTAACTCTGTTACTTCATCTTTATGTTTCTTAACCATTCTTAAACCGGACAATGGTGTTTTGAAAGCAGGTCTTTGCGAATTGAAACCAGTTCTCCTGTGGCTTCAGCGTTTTTACGCGTGCGACAAAAAGACTCATCGTGTGGGCAGAAAAGATGGCCGTATCAGCTGAAGGGGTTGGTCAGAGCTCTCCAGCCATGAGAAAAAGAGATGGATCGTGCATCCAAAATGTTCTGCTATCATATTATAGTAAAATATTGTCATGGGATCCATGGATATCCATGGTGCTGGTATATTAATGCTAACATAAAGGGTTTTTTTGTTGATGGGATCCATGGAGCACCATATATAGCATGAGTTCCTTTTGCCAGACACCGAAGCAATCCTCTTTGCGATCTTCGACTAAATTGCTCCCCATTATTTAAGACTGTGCCCAGATACATTTAGGTCGGTGGGTTCAAAAAGGGCATGAAGCAGCGATTCCATTGCTGATATTGCTGATTGGGTTCCAGTTTCTGCCCCTGGGCCCCAAACTGGTTCATTGAGGATAAGTAGACCTCCTGTCCCATCAGGTTCTTTGCCAAGTATCCCATAGGATCCATGGTGCTGGTATCTAACATGACTGGGGTATATTGATGGTAAATGTTATGCCATATATAGCAGCACCATGGATCCTATGGGTATGGAGGAACCGCATTCTCTTGCTCTGAGGTCGCGAAAAGTGGGGCGAGTGGGGCGCGGTTTCCAGTCCGGGTTCGACCACAGTCCGCCCCGGTGCTACGGTCCAAGTCTGGTGGTGCCATGGCGTGACTTCGAGAGTTTGTTTCCCATGACGGATCCATGGTGCTGCTATATATGGTATAACATGGATCCCATCAACAAAAACCCCAGTCATGTTAGCATTAATATACCAGCACCATGGATCCTATGGCATCCTATGGGATAGGTTTAGGATTCCCTCGAAATGTGTATCCTTCCATTGTAGAAATTGGCTGGCACCGCAGCAGAAAAAGCCAAATGAACACTTCTAGATGGATCACACTGAGCGATGCAATATTTTGTTGCTGCGACCAAAGAGTGGGGTCTAGCCATCCATGCCATCCATGGACCCAAAGGTTGGGATACTTAGATGGATTCAGGATACCTAGGAATAAGTAGAATATACCATCTGGTAAATTAACATAGACCCTGAAAATCACCAACTTTTAGTTGAAACTAATCTTCCAACCCCGATAACTGCCAGGGTCGAACTGTTACTGGAGGGTAATATGATGTAATATGTATATAGCTTATATTTCATCACAAAGGTCCGGAACAAGACCAGTGTCGGAGCGCTCCTATACGGTACCTATACGCGTCTGCATCCCGAAAGGTGGCTAGCCGTATGGCATCAGCTATTCTCTGATTCAGCCATAGTTTTATAAGCAATTATACGTACAGTTATACATGACCCTTTGGTAAACAATGGTTGGTCAACATATAAAAGTTGCGAACTGGAACATCAATATGGTCCAAATAAACATATGAAATACATATATTATACATGCATCTTTGGTAAACATCACTATTTTCATAGCTAAATCATCAATGGTCCATTTTCGCTCAACGTTTACCAATTCTCTGAGGTGCCTGAGCGGCGGAAAAAAGCGCAGAGATTTGCGGAGCATTGCTCAGGGAACTGCACATTTGTACTGTATATAATATATACTACACCATGTAATTAGTATGTGTGTCAATAGTTTATATATATATATTATAATATTATATAATATATAATGCATTGTATAGAGATTTTAGTTACGCAAGAAATTCTAGTTCCGTTTCGACTGTTCCAAAAAAGAGAGAGAGGCTTCGGCTTCCGCGGTCTCCACAAGCTGGCTGAAACATCCTGGCTCCCAACGATTCGATGGGGAAGATGATCAACCAATGGAAAAAAACAGAGAAAGCCGGGCCTGGGGTCGCTGAAGATATAGAGAAACATATCTCATATCGGAAATGTAATGGTTATTGCATGTTATTGCCACCATGGTTATCTAAGTTATCTAAGTTATATATATATATACATATTGTTCCATGACCTATATTTTGACTCAGGGCCATGCAGTGGATCCATTGATATTACAGAACGATGAAGCTAGGGTTGATTAGCCAAGCAGCATCCCTATCAGCCAAGCAACAGAACCATTTTTTTCGGCAACTCTTTGATGATAGAATATCATGGTACAGACCTATTTGTATTGTTTCGACTGGGTGCAGCGTGGGAGTTCACAATACCACTTGCAAGTTGCTGAAAAGGGCCACTTGCAGTGAAGTTGGGACAGTGGAACAGATGCTGTGGAACTGTTGAGTTGACAACTTTCACCATGGATTATGATGCCGCTCACCAGCGGCAAATCTCAACTGGGACCCACTATGGACCCACTATGGACCCACTATGGACCCACTATGGACCGCTACGGACCCACTATGGACCGCTACGGACCACTGCAAGAGCACAGCTTGAAAGCTGTTCCGTCATGACATCAGGCCGGTGGCTTCGTTGCACTATAGCGATCCAAGTGATGTAAAAATCAAGTTGAGACCAGACATGCGACCAGATCTTCAGTATGACCAGCCCATTTTCCAGTGATTTTTCCCATTTCTGTTTTTTCTTGAATGACAATGTGCGTTTGACATTCCAATTGTTTCCCAGGATCATTTACATACATTACATTGTAATCATTACATCATGGTTTTCTGTGTTTGCATATGTTGGTGTTTCCTTTCTACAAAGGTAAGAATGTTTTTTATGCCTTCGGTGGATGGCATCCATCTCAAAACATCTCAAAACCAAACCATCAAACCATCAAGATCAGAATAAGTATGAATAAGATTGAATAAGTGACCTTATCAGGTTGCCTGATGTTTCTTATTTGATGTGATACCCGGCCTGGTAAACGAACGTTTACATAACGAACTGGAAAGATCCACCATGCTATCAATGGGAAAATCCACTATTTCGACTGGGCCATTTTCAATAGCTATGTTTCAACGTTTACCAGAGGGTAGTTCATACTTCAGAATACGTGATGTCCATTGGCACTATCCCTTGGATCCAGGTGTGATTCGCTTGCGCTCACCCCTCGACTGAGTCGAGCGTGACTGAGGAGAAGTTGTGCCGAGATCGTAGGATTGTGTTATTTGTGTTGGATGGCGAATATTGATCCAAGCTACATACCCCATAGGATCCTATAGATCCCCATGACGGATCCATGGTGCTGCTATATATGGTATAACATGGATCCCATCAACAAAAACCCCAGTCATGTTAGCATTAATATACCAGCACCATGGATCCTATGGGTACTGCTATATCAGGCTCTCTTCTTTGTGCCAGACTGTACTTTTTTTTTGTGTTTTGATGTCCAAAAATTAGCAGCCCAGCTGCTCGGGAAACCACGAAAAAGAGATCGGACTGGTCTTCTTCTGCTCAGTGTGTAAATACCTAATGATCCTGATGTGTATATATATATATAGATAGTATGAATATACATAGGCCAGATTTGGCCAGATATATATATATATATATATGTATAAATTGAAGGATAGATGATGATAGATGTATCTTGAAATATTCAGTATCTATTCTTTGGGCTGATGGATTCAGTAGATGAAATCAGTCAGTGGCATCCGCTTCTCCTCGGCGGCGCACGTGGCTTTGGCGACGAAAGAGTTGCCGGAGTTGGGCGGGGGCCCTTTTCAGAGTCTTAAAATTGAGTCTCATTCATAGAATTGGAAGATGGGAAAATTTACAGGAAACCCCTATATTTGATGGTAAAAACCATGGTTTCCTGTAGATTTTCCCTTAAACCAATCCATTGACTCATGAATTTTTGGCGCCAATTTTCTTGGTTTAGCACTGCATCTTATTATTCTTATTCCTATAGCTTTTGCTTTTAGAGGTTGGCGAAGATTTCTTGGTCTTATAGGTCTTAGGTTCTAGGTCTTGGTCTCCCGATGTGTTGTTGGTCCACAACCTTCAGTCGAGGTCAAACAAAGGGGTCATCCCACACAAGTTCAGGTGTCAAATGCAAGAACAGAAGTATGGTAGCCATGTATCCATGCAATCTGTACAGCAATATCACAGATTTAATCAGCCTTGTGGAGCGCGGACAATTTGAGGGTCATCAGCCTTGATTTTACTTTTAAGCTGACATGAAACTCCAGCGTCAGGCTGGATTTACCACGAGCCGTAGGATGTCAGCCATCAGGACATTTAAATCATGGATTATATATGATTATATATTGTAGCTATTGGGAAGCCGCCGTGGGTTCAATGAGAGGTACATTTCTGAATTGGTGCGCTTGTGGAATGCTGGCAATGTCCGGGCACTTGAGCCCGATCGGGTCCACTGTTGTGAACTGTGTGGAATGGGGCCGGCAGTAGGGTACCCTCTGGTAAATTAACATAACTATGGAAAATCACCCTTTTCAATGGGTAAATCCACTATTTCTATGGCCATTTTCAATAGCTATTTTGACATAACCAGAGGGTAATTGGAAAGATGCACTATCTTGTGTATACATAAATGTATACATATACCAGGTAGTACCTGGCCGCACTGGAGCGGAAGTTTCGATTATATTTAGTGTCTATAGGCGCTGTCGTTAGATTAGCATCAGATAGATTAGAACGATTAGACATAGATTAGATTAAGATTACTGGTTGGTCGTTTGGAACATGTTCTATTTTCCATTTTCTATATGGGATAATCCTTCCCATTGACGAACTCATATTTTTCAAGACGGTTGAAACCACCAACCCGATAAGATTCAGTAAGATTAGATATAGATTAGATTATCGATTAAATATACCATTAGAGATATTTTTATTGGATAGATCGATAGATCCATCCGCTCGGTGCCAACGTTTTTTCTCGATCACCTG